AGTCTAGTTAGGCAAGTTCCATACAAAGAGATGCGTATCTGGTGCACGACCCCCTCCGCTGGGCTCTGCCCACTTTTACAGAATTTTTTCAAATATTGCCAGTGGGTGGAGTCAGGCTCTGACCAGGGGTTTAGTTACCCTTTAAAAAAAGTGTTAATAACAACACAACAGGTGTTGTTTTCAACACATGCTCTGAGTGTGCTCAGGGACAACACATACTGTACTGTGTTGAAATACAGAATATATGTTGTGAAAACACACAGACAAATGTGTTACTTTGGTTAACACATTAATATGTCTTTTTTGTATACATCTAACACAATTGTGTGTTATAGATTTATTTTATTATAAAACATTATTGAAAAACCTAGATCAGAATACAATATGTACAGTTATCATGAAATCACACTGAAGAATTGAATAAGGTTCACATACTGTTTATTTAGCTTTTTTTTTTTTTAAAGTTGTAAAAAAGTTGCGTATCTTTTACCAGAAAAGCAATATGACATAACTATGTTTTCAGTAGTGTATAAAGAACTTACTTAATAAACCGTAATGTTTTTATTACCTTAGAATGAGACATTTATATCTGCATAACCGCGGGAATCATGCGAGTTCACTCATAGGCTGCAGCAGTTTGCCGCAGAGCAACCAATGAGCTCGCTAGCTAGCCCGCTCATGGTCTGCAGCTGCTGCACTGCGTTGACAATGGATACAAAAGTTAGGATAATGAATCTTAAAATGATAAAATGAATCTTTCCCGTAGCGTAAGCTAGCTTATGCAATACTCGTTCCCTCATCTAGAACCGAGGTTACGTTAGGTAACCCATTTGTTTGCTAGTATGTGGGGAGAAATGTGCTGGTTTACGTTTGTGAGACAATCAGCTGATTACTATTATTATATTAAATTATATATTAAAACCCTTGATCCTCACCTGACTATGGCTTTGTAAACTTTATCCATGATGTGGTTTATAATGGACTTTGGTACAGAAACAATGACAATGTTACACACTCTTTGCTTACTCTGGCTATTCTCTGTTGTCTCAGGCGACGAGATGTTTGTCCCGTTCTAGCAACCGTAGCTTCTTCGAAAGGTAGGGGTGAACAGTGGGCTGAGCCCTTAGTGCAAACCTGAAAACTCGCAACCGAACCGCTAGATGTCGCTAAAAATCCCACACTGCACTTTTAACATGGAATTCATAATATAAAAAATACTATTGATATAAAAATAAGCATTTCAAAACATTAATCATACATATTAAATAACATTAAATAACAACAGATCAAATATTTTTAAAACTCGTATGTTAGATCCTGTAAAATACAATGTCAAATAGAACAAAGTCTGAAACCATTTCCAAAATAAGACCAAACTTTCTCAGCTTGGTCTAAAATAAGTATTAATCTTTTCTTGTAAATTACCAAAGGAACGATCTAGGATTTCCTTTGTGCAGGTTATACTTTTTTGTACATAATAAGTTACATTAGCAGAAGCATACATGCAGGCAGCAAAAAGTAGCAGCATAGTCTGACTTGTCTGACATTCTCTCCTAGATTATTTGTTCTGCTTTCATCAATTTGACAGAATACATCTGTTTCAGTGTGTCAGTTGGCATGGATATTGAAGATTACACAGCCAGTAGAATTTGAAAAGTTTTTCAACAGCACATGTGAGGTTTTCAACATCAAGTGGAAGAGCAAAGGAATCATTCTTAATTACCAACGCATTCTCACCCCAAGGCGTCACCTTTGACCATGCTTCAATATTTGACGTTTTAGGCGCCCTTTAGCGTCACTTACATGACGCGATCCTACGGCGTCATCTAACTGACGCTAAAGGAAAGCGTCTTAGAGGACGCGGTTAGGTTTAGGTGTGGGGTGGGGGTAGGGTACACGCGATCCTAGGGCGTCATCTAACTGACGCTAAAGGGCGCCTAAAGCGTCAGATATTGAAGCATGTCCAAATGCTTCCCAAGGCGTCAGTTAAGTGACGCCTTGGGAGTGAGAATGGGCTGTAATTACATACAGGGCTTCATGTCCTGCAGAGCCAATGGAAACCAATGCGGCTGTGTTGAGACCATAAAACATAATAAATACATTTAGGCTTCTGCTTCTTGCTCGGTAAATGACCAATCAGAATTCAGTAAGCAAATATTCTAAGTGGGAAGAGTTCAGTCACAACATTGTTGACTTTCAGGAAGCATACCTTGATGTTAGTGTGGGAGAGCTCTGAGACACATAAATTGGGGATTTTTAGATTTTACTTGTTCACAGAGCACCTGACAAATGGAGATGAAGTGTTCACAGAGATGACAGAAGGAACTGATCAACAGACAGATGCAGATGAGCATCAGAAAAACACAACAGAAGATAATGAGCAGATGACACAAAAAGCACATGAACGTGAACAGCAGACACACACTGTGGAAGCTTTTGTCTCTACTGCTGTAGAGATTGTTGATCTTACATTTTTGTGTGATACATCGGAGGTCCCTTTGCAAGGTGGTCCATTTTTAGAAGATCTTGATGACACAATCTTCCATGAGCCTATGGAAAAGGCAGATAAACATCAATGCCCTTAGCTCAACTCCTGTCAATTCTGACACCGTCTGCTGGCCCATTAAGTCCTACTTATGAACTTTTGCATGTGACAGTGAAACTCCACAAAGTCAGTGTCTTGGAGGAACTAATTACCCAATTCAAGGATGAAGCAATGATGTCCTACTCTGTGAAATACAGCTTCATTCATGAAATAGGGGCAGATGCTGATGGCGTGTCCAGGGATGTATATGGGAGTTTTAGACTGTGCAGCAGAGGGTGCAGATGTGAGGGTGCCATCACTATCCCCAAAATGGCCAGAGGAAGAATGGAAATCTGTTGGTAGGATAATGGTCAAGAGATTAAAGGACCATGGATATTTTCCCTCTCGGCTGGCTCAAGCTTTTACAGCAGCAATCACATTTGGTGAACACACTGTCTCACCTGATTTACTGTTTGACTCACTAATGTTGTATCTTAGTCAGTCTGAGTGCATATCTTGTCCACCTTGATGCTAATGATGAAGATGAGCTTCTTGATCTTATGGATCGCATGGGAGTAAGAACAGTACCAACACAAGAGAACTAAGCTGTGCTTCTCCAAGTGGCCCACAAGCAAATTATCCAGCAACCAAAATATGCACTGGATGACAATCAACACAATCAAGTCTCAGGGAGTTCTTCCCCAGTGTGCTGGATATACAGATGCATGAGGATCTTAAACCATCAGCACAAAAGGTATTAAAGTTAATCACGGCCTCTCTAGGTACTTTAGCAGAGAACCTTTGCGATTTTCGCGATCTGTTCATTGCAATCTGGGTTGTGTTACACTTTGGCTAATGTTTTTTGCATTAAAGGAAAAAAATAAATAATAAAAAATAAATAAATAAATACCCTGCATATTCTGCTAATTTCCATGACACTTCTCCTATTTCATTTCTAACCCATGTCGGGACTGTGCTTGCTCACCAAGTGGAAACTATTTTATAGACATAGACAGAGGTGTCTTGTAAATGACAAGCATGCAGTTTTACTAGCACACTAGAAAATAAAAATGTGAGATCTTGTGATTACTGACAGAGTTGTGATCTCAATGTGTCTCCACTCCAAAGTTGCTGCAATTCACAGTCAGAATGGCTTTGTCACTTATTATCATAAAGATTTAATCATCAGTTTGCATGATAAACTTGCAAGATCTCCTGTATAGAGACATTCATTATTTGTAATTACTTTAAACTTGAATCTAAACATTTGGGTGTTACCATTCAATTCACTGCATTAGACATACTCTGACTCAAGACTCTTTTTTTTTTCAACTTCAACTTTTACATGATGCATTTACATTATTTTGTCACTTTGTCTCACTTTTATTTTCACTACCCCTCCATTTTTTCACATCTCATTCTCATTTATTCATCACTCTTCATCACACATTAAAACCATAAATGTGGCCTCATGATAAAGTGCTGCTTGTATTAGAACATAATTATTCTGCAAGAAGCATTAGTTCTTCTCATTTCATTTAACTGGTCATTTTGATTGCAAAAAGGCACCAGTTGATGTTTCAAGAAACACTTTCATTACAGACCTTTGTCAAGGTTGATGATTTATTTTATGTATGAAAATATAAGGTGCGAGTTTATTTGACATAAAAAAGTAGCAATACACTGTTGTAACAACTTCTTTTTCAAGGATAACATGATAAAGTTGCATCAACTTAGTTGTGGTCCTTCATTTTCTTTTAACGATACATTTTCATGACAAACCACAACAAATAGGCTACACATATCCATAGCAAAAAATAATGTCTTCACTAAAGCCAACATTATCCTTTAAAATCTTTATGTCAAATGGCAACTTATTCCACTCCAGCGCACCTGTTAAAATATGAAATATGAAAAATATGAGTTAAAATAGAATGAGGCCTTATTATTAATTATTTTATGAACCATTTTTAGTTTCAGGAATGCTCACCGTTTTTCAATGGGTAACCATCCAAGCTGCTGTGTCCATTATCCATGGGTAATAGAACGATATTCTAAAGCTACTCTCAATAAATTTGGTTTTTGGCTTTATGTTATGTTAAAGAGAATCCTGCCTTGATGAATAATGATAAAAATGTAAATCGAATCATGGATTATTTAGATTTTTTTCCAGGCTGGTAATTCAATTCAAATATTATTACATTTTAATTCAATTATTACATTTGCCAATTCAAATATTATTTTTATGATCTTTACTTAATTTTAACGAACTTGTAAAATATGCTTTATTATAGGCTAATTGTTTTCCAAAGCTATTAATTTCAAACATTACCGTTGTGCATCCCAGTATATCTTATGCAGAAATATAAATAGGCATTAAGAGATTATTTATTGTTATTTGTTACTTTCATCTGATCATCATATAAACATCCTCCTTATTGCCATCATTATATTCTGATCGTTGAGTTTTAGAGGTAATATGCTGCGTTGATGTGCTCTAGGCTTGTGAACTGTTGTTACTGTAGCAGTTCTAATTCATTGACTGAATCACATGGCAATGACTAGAACTGGAGTAATGAGCGGCCACGAGCTCAAAGATCCGCTGTTTACATCGCAAAACCTCACACAATGTAACCGACCATGAGATCGAATTGTGGATAATTCATTTTCCAACATCGATCGCCTTGGATTGATCGATCCGCGTCTCTTATACGGTAAGATCATCAGTTTTAATACGAATTTGAATTGAACTAATGTGTAAACGAGCTCCTCGTTTACACAATAAATACTGCCTACTTAAACATATTCACAGGCAAATGAATCGAATTTGTTCATTTCACTGTACTGTCCCATTTCTGTCGGTGGGTTTTGTTTATGTTGTTACGCCATAATGCTGCAGTAACGGGACACTGCCACCAGACTGCATACGCCAAGTGCTTTTCGACAGACTCGAATAATTCCAATAATTCTCACAAAGCCACACCATATTGATTAAATATGTAAAATGTCACTGCAAATACTTATACCACTGTTTACACTGGCCTGAAAGCAGTTAAAGGCTCTCTTTGTACATCTTTACTTGTCTGGTAAAAGCGAGGAAATGCCTTGCAGCAATAGCATAACACCGTTGTGTAGGGTGACATCATTTTGATTAACAGATACTCAAATAATACTCGAAGTTTACTCACAGATGCCTTATTAATTTCAATACATTTAAAGTAGGTTATGCCTCCTCTAGAATATTGTTATATTAAGACACAAATTCAGATTCTTCGAGGTTACTCAACATGTTTTATTATGAAAGGTTTCAAAAATAATGAATGAAATAATGATAGAAATAATGTCTCTTTTGTATTAGCAAAATAAATATATAGGTAAATAATAAATAACTAAAAGAAACACCTCCAGGACGTGAAAACAGGTCATGTCACCCTAGTGTAGCTACTTGTTTATAAAGCGTTTGTAACTGTTTAAAATAAATAATCATTCAATGCTAAACAAATCTTTATGAGCATTCATATTTTTAAAGCATTAAGGATAGTTTTATATTTAAATTGCTGAAACAATATTTTTTATGCCCTGGTTCTATCAATAATACAGATCCATTTTATTTAGCCATTTCTCAAGTGCAATAAAGTACTGATCACTGGGACCTTATCACAGATCAGTTTCAGATGACTCTAATTTAGGTTCTGTTTTCCTTTCATGAGTGTATTCATCATCACATGGGTATGGGTGAATCCCCTATGAAATCTCAAATTAGATTACATCTAACTACTGTCACATGAAAACCTCCATTGTAGAATCCTTTTCTTGGATCAAAATTAGGAAAAGCACAAGCTACCCTATTAAATAAGTAGCCGCTATGCCCAATAAGGGCTTTTATTTTCATTGTCACACTGTGTAAGCACACAATAAATAAGAACACTTATCATTTGTTCTTAAATGTGCAAGATATGGAAATGCTGATCTCTCAGCTACTTACATTTTTGTACTGTTAACATTGTATTGTTTATTGTTGAGATTTGTATGCATCATTTTAGGCTACCATGGGAAGCCTCTTCCGAAGTGAAGAGATGTGTCTGGTCCAGCTTTTCCTTCAGGCAGGTTCGGCTTACAACTGCGTCAGTGAGCTTGGGGAGTTGGGCCTAGTCGAATTCAGAGATGTGAGTTTAATGAATAAAATATAGCATTCAAAAGTTGGAGGTCAGTAAGATATATTTTTGATTAATACTTTTAATCAGCAAGATCAAAAGTACAAATTTTACATTGTTACACTGTTCTTTTGATCCTGAAAAAGGGTCAAGGTTTCCACAAAAATATTAAGCAGTACAAATATTTTCAAATTTGTATTAGTATTTCACAATATTACAATAAACTCTCTCCCCTCTTGTTCTGTCTCTCTTAAACCCATTTTTCTCAGCTGAACCCAAATGTGAATGCCTTTCAGAGGAAGTTTGTTTCAGAAGTGAGAAGATGCGAGGAGCTGGAGAAAACGTTCAGTATGTAACCATTAAATATTTACCTTTCAGTGACCAGCTACCCCTACAGCAAGTGTTATACACAGTAGTTATTTCAGTCACTTTTTATTTTAAGGTACTCCCATTATCTGTCAAAGAGTTGTAGCATAATCACTGTAGCCTGATTGTGCTCATTCTCAACACGTTTCCCCTTCCCTTATTCCTTAGAATATCTGGAGCAAGAGGTCAGTCGTTCCCTCTATCCTCCTCTTAAAGGGCTTCTACCCATGGCCACGCCAATCCCATCAGCCCCACAGCCAAGAGAGCTGCTCTCCATTGAGGAGGAGAGCGAGAGACTTGCCAGAGAACTCAAAGAGGTGAGAGGAGGAAAGAGAAATAGGCTTAGAAATCAGAAATATCTTGTGTTCCATGATAAACAATTTAGTGCAAGTGGTGATCTTGACCCAGTTTGCATTTAGGTGTCAAGGAACAGGGATAGTCTACGTAACCAGCTGATCCAGCTCAGCCAGTACAGAGGGGTCCTGAAGCAGAGCATTTTACTACCAACCTCACAGGTTTAAAAAAAATCCAACTTTTAGCATGCTTACCTCCAAGAGATCTCTCTCCGATATTCATCAAACCTTCTCATGATGTCTTTAAAGGTTCCACCTCCAACTCTTGAGACCACAGCGCTATTGGACAGCAGACAAGATATGCGCTTGAGGTGAGGTGCAGTCACATTTACTGTTGCTCGGTATAGTTTCTTAGAAATTTCAATAGGATCCGCATGTTTAGTATTTTTTTATATTTTCACCACTAACAACATATATTAGATCTCATTAAACGACAAATTATTGTATACTATCTATTTAATTAACACGTCACGCTCTGCATGAGTGGTGTTTACGAAAGTAACGTTAAAAACAAGTACTCCACAGTGACTCTAGGGGTCGCTGTTTGACAAAAACGGGATTCCTGCTTGGTGTCCTCTCATAACATAGAGTGCAGCTATCATCATTATAATAGTGATGCCTGCCTTAGCAATCTAGATGAAAATGTAAATGTTAAGAAAGTGTTTCCCAACTCTTGGGGGCACACTAACAGTACACATTTTGGATGTCTCCCTTATCCGACTCATTTATTTTTGGTCTTGGAGTCTCTAGTAGTGAGCTGATTAGTAGAATCAGGTGTGTTTGATTAGGAAGAGTTTAAAAATGTGGACAAGGTTTTTCAACAAGGTTGGAAAACACAGTCAAATTTGCAAAATGTTGTGTGCAAAAAAGGTAAATAGCTTAGAGATTTGTGAAGCACACCAAAGTCACTTTCAAACAAGTAGCTTTCTGTTGGTCAGCATGGCAAAGTTGAGTGACCAACTGGAACATGAGTGCAATCTGCGTTCGCCCTCACAAGAAACTTCAAAATACATGGATTGTTATTGTTATGACTGTATTTGGCTCAGCGAAATTTCATTAAACGTCAGTAAATGTGAATGGGGTAAAGTGACATGGTATTAGCGACATTTTGTTGGAAAAAATATCAATTGTCAGTAATGTTTGAAGGACAGCTTGCACAGAAGTCACTTTCAAAACTTGAATTTGCTTTCTGTTGGTCAGTGCGGCAAATTTGCATTTACATGAACGAAATCTGCACAGTGAAACTCCCAATTTACCGTAAATGATTAGAATTTGCCTGCAAAATTTCACAGAGCAACGTAAATGTGAGCAAATCTTTTGACTATTTGTAATATTATTTTCACATATGTAACAAAACACGTCTTTCCTGCAAAGCTTTGTCGCTGGCGTGGTTCATCCATGGAAGGTTCCGTCGTTTGAGCGGCTGCTATGGCGGGCCTGTCATGGTTATATCATTGTAGACTTCTGGGAGATGGAGGAGAGGCTGGAAGTGCCAGACACTGTAAGAGAGTGTTTCGTTAAAATAAATCAGATAACTAATTTTAATAAAACTGTCAATTGACCATAAACATGATGTGTTTTTCCTGCTCACAGGGAGAGATGGTTCAGTGGACTGTCTTTGTGATCTCTTTTTGGGGAGAGCAGATTGGACAGAAAGTAAAGAAGATCTGTGATTGGTACATTCATAGCTTATATAAATTTAATTATAGCTTACTATAGCACCTTTCCATGATATCACATTATTCTTATTTCAGAATCCCATCTCTCTATTCATAGTTTCCACACACACACCTTTGTGTATCCCGAGGGCTTGGAGGAGAGAGAAGTTATACTTCAGGGCCTGGAAAGCAGGATAGTAGATATCAAAACGGTGACTTGAATGTTCCCTTTATCCTTTTATTTTGTATATTCTCTTTGAGAAAAGATCATGCAGTGTAAAATAGTTAGATACTAGCTTTTCTTAAAGTGGCTTATGAAGAATCAAGTGTGTAAACATTTTTCTTAGCAAATTATTGTGATGTGTTTTTTTTATGTATCTGTTATTGTGTGTACCTGCCTAGGGACTACGGACGTAAATTAGCAATATTGCTATAATACGGCTTGTTTACATCTTGTATTTTGTACAAATTGTCATTAACATGCTTTGTCCCTATTAAATAAAATAAAATAAAAAAAACTTCATTACATTAGATAGCAAAATATGAAGTGGTACCACCAATGGTACAAGCATACGTTTTTAAACAAAACATTGCACATTATAAGTTAACTTATCTTTCATAATCTGATGTATTTCCAAGTGAAACAGGATAAATAGAATATTATACACTGCCATTTAAATGTTTAGGGTGAGTAAGATTTTTAAAAAAGTTAAGAAATTAATATTTTTATTTAGCAATGATGCATTTAATTGAACAGTCTAGAACAGTTAAGGTGTTTACATTATAACAAAAAAAGTATATATTTCAAATAATTGCTGGTCTTTTTTACTTTCGATTAAGAATTCTGAGAAAATGTATTATGGTTTACATAAAAAAAAATATTAAGCAACACAGCTGTGTCCAACATTGCTAATAATAAGAAATGTTTCTTGAGCAGCAAATCAGCATATATGAATGATTTCTGAAAGATCATGTGACACTTAAAAGTAATGGCATTCTCGGCTTATTTAACAGCAGCAAAACTGGACACGATAGTCACAAATTCATTATCAAAATATGATACAAAATATTTATTTATCGGCCATTATAACTTATTTATCGATAGCGATAATTTGGAAAATGCCTAATATCGGCCTGCCGATATATCGGTGTAGTGACGCAGATGGTTTCATTGTCTGTTTCTGACGCGTGCTTATTTTTTGACTCAAATAAATAAATGTCCATACCTTCAGATTCAATTTCTGATAAGCCAAATCCTTTTATTGTCCATTTGGCTTTGCAAACAACAAAATAAAACTAAAATAAAACACTAAACCAAAAATTGTGATTCAAACATACAGCCATGAGCACAATTCCACTCTCCACATAGCACAGCACGGTCAAAAAGTTTGTTTGACCTTCCATCAGCCACACCTGTTACTCGTTATCACCCCACTTAAATATACTCAAGATACTAATACGCCCTCTAGTGTTACAAAAAAAAATACAATTCAAAATAATGGCTCCAACAATCGGTCTGGCTCTAATATTAATGTCTTATTCTACATGACCATATTCTACATCCCCTAATCCTACCTAATACCTAAACTTAACATTTACCTTAATGACTAATTAATAAGCATGATATAGGTGTTTATTGTGGCAAAAGTTGTTAATAGTTAGCTAATAATGAGAATGTAATCTAACGTGTGACCGAAATAATAATAAGATGTTATTAAGATAGTTCCACTTCAACTTCACCTATGTCTGTCTGCAGGTGCTGTCTCAGACGGAGCAGTATATGCAGCAGCTGCTGTCCCGCTGCGTGTGTCAGGTGCCACAGTGGAAGACACGAGTGCAGAAGTGTAAAGCCGTTCAGACGGTCCTCAACCTCTGCAGCCCTTCAGTCACTGACAAGTGTCTCATCGCAGAAGCCTGGTGCCCTGTGGCCAAACTGCTTCTGCTCCAGAGCGCTCTGATAGAAGGAACGGTGAGACATTTAGTGAATTGTTTCACACGAAATACATCACACAGATATGAAATGTTCTGAAATGTAGAAATGTTGATTTTTAGGTATTAAAGGGTTAGTTCACCCAAAAATGAAAATTAAGTCATTAATTACTCACCCCCATGCTGTACCAACCCCGTAAGACCTTCGTTCGTCTTCGGAACACAAATGAAGATATTTTTGATTAAATTTGAGAGCTGTATAACTACCACATTGGCTCCTAAAGGACTGCCTCTTGACGGCCCAGAAAGTCAATGAAGAAAATGTTTAAATATCCCAAGTGACTACCGTGGCTCAACTATATGTTTATCAAGCGACGCGAATACTTTTTGTGCGAAAAAACAAACAAAAATAACGAGTTTATTCGACTATTTCTTTTCTTCCTTGTAGGCCAGAACGAGACTTCCTTATAGATTTCCACGACGCATGCGCGAGATTTGCGATCTAAGCTGGTGTAAGCTGGTGTGAGCAGATCGCAAATCTCGCGCATGCGTCGTGGAAATCTAAGGAAGTCTCGTTCTGGCCTACAAGGAAGAAAAGAAATAGTCGAATAAACTCGTTATTTTTGTTTGTTTTTTCGCACAAAAAGTATTCGCGTCGCTTGATAAACATATAGTTGTGCCACGGTGGTCACTTGGGATATTTAAACATTTTCTTCATTGACTTTCTGGGCCGTCAAGAGGCAGTCCTTTAGGAGCCAATGTGGTAGTTATACAGCTCTCAAATTTAATCAAAAATATCTTCATTTGTGTTCCGAAGACGAACGAAGGTCTTACGGGGTTGGTACAGCATGGGGGTGAGTAATTAATGACTTAATTTTCATTTTTGGGTGAACTAACCCTTTAAAGAAGTACTGTGGTGCACACACAGTTGCCATACTTTTTTAGATGACTAAGAAATATAATAGTGAACCGAAGGTCGCTCATTCAAAGCAGTGAATCTCACAATAGCATATTTTTTTTTTTATTTCTTAGAGAAAAAGCGGTAGCAGTGTAGACTCCTTCTACAATCGTTTACCTCCACCCACATCTCCTCCAACACTCTATAACACCAACGCATTCACGTCCAGCTTCCAGAACATTGTGGATGCTTATGGTGTGGCCAGTTACAGAGAGGTTAATCCAGGTAACACACACACACACCACATGGACATTGTTACCTAAAGTTGCATTGTTGTTGTTGGTAGAAAGGTCCACCTGAGAGAGGTTATTGCTTGAGGTAAACAACCTGTACATAAACTCAAAACTCTTCACGGTAAATGTGTGTGTGTGTTCCCTTCTCAGCTGTGTACACCATCATTACTTTTCCCTTCCTGTTTGCGGTGATGTTTGGAGACGTTGGTCATGGTTTACTCATGATAATGGCTGCCCTGTGGATGTTTCTGGAGGAGAGAGACCCTAAGATGAGGAATAGCACTAATGAGGTTTCTTTCATTTTACACAGTACATATCATAATCTTTACAGCTGCCTTCAAGACTGCAAAAAGGCATTTAAATAGAACATACTATACAAGACTCTTTCTTTTAAAATATCTTTCTAAGTTACCTTTCAACAGCATTGAGATTTTACACTACTGTTCAAAAGCTAGTAATCTTGTGCTCACCAAGGCTGAATTTTTCTAATCAAAACTACAGTAAAAACAATAATATTCTGAAATATTATTACAATTTAAGATAACGTTCACAAATAATCCTAATATGTAGATTTGGTGCTCAAGAAACTTCTCGTTATCATTATTACAGTTGTGTTGCTTAAATTTTTGGAAATCATAATAGGTTTTTTTCAAGATTTTTTTTGATTAATATAAAGTTCAAAAGAAGAATAAATTATTTGCAACATTATAAATGTATTTACGGTCACTTTTAATCATTTTAATGCATCTTAATCATTTTAAAGTCTTACATTTGTGTTTCTCTTTTAGATTTGGCGCATGATGTTTGGTGGGAGGTATCTGATCCTTCTGATGGGTTTGTTCTCCATCTACACTGGTGCTGTTTATAATGAGTGCTTCAGTAAGGGACTCAGTCCTTTTTCCTCTAGCTGGCACCTCAAACCCATGATTCAGCACTATAACTGGAGGTACACACACTATTACATCCAAGGCAAGGCAAACGTACATTTTAACTAAAAGATTTAAGATCTCAGGACAAGGGATTGCTTTAACCTGGGCAATAATGGTGGACATGTTCAATAGCTTTTTTTTGTAGAGAAAGACTATAATGGGTTATTTCCTTGTTTGTTAGTTTCCTAATTCATTATTTACTTGCACTAATGTCGTTCCAAACCCATAAGATCATCTGATCAACGAATGCGGACCAAGTATTTAAAGGTTGATCAGCGAACTCATTGGCTACTGATACAGCAGGAACCAATCAGCTGTGCCCTATAGAGAATGGTGTGATTGCAAGCAGATCAGCCTGCGCCATCTAGAGTTTCATGACAGAACTTGGTATGAATCAGTGCGATTGGAAATTTGTTCATAATATTTGGGGAAATATTTCCCCAAACAGATTTCGAAAACAGTTCAAGTTAGATTCACCAACAGAAAGCTTGTTCTGTGTGAGCTGTTTTGTACAGCTATACACATTTGACAGTAGACAATGGATGTTTTTTTGTCTGTGATCTTTTCAATTTGGCACTGTGAACCTGATCAATTATCCATCATTTCAGCTTGCCTATGCGCTCTCATTTTACACTCACTTTTGTCTTCTTTCTCCTGGGCTGGTTCAGTGATGAAACTCTGAGGAGCAACCAGTACCTCACTTTGGATCCAAACGTAACTGGAGTATTCCAGGGACCATATCCATTCGGCATTGACCCGGTAATCAGGCCTTTAATCAAATCCCGCTTGCGTCTAGCTTACTGTGAGGTTTGGGTTTGACTATCTCTCGTTCCCTGGTTCTTAGATCTGGAGCCTTGCCAGTAACCACCTCACCTTCCTCAATTCCTATAAGATGAAGATGTCCGTCATCATCGGGGTCATCCATATGACTTTTGGGATCTGCTTATCCTTCTTTAACTACATGTGAGTCATAAAGTAGGATTCATTTTGGTCTACCATTACTTTATATTTCTGATCACTTCTGGTTTTATGTGGATTCAAAAAACGTATTCTTTTATGTTTTCTTATCCTTTTAATGCTACACTTTCTTCTCAGGTACACAGGGGATGTGAGCAGCATGTTTCTGGTGTTGATTCCAGAGCTAGTGTTCATGCTGTGTCTGTTTGGGTACCTTGTCTTCATGGTGGTGTTTAAATGGATTGCGTTTGGACCTCAGGATTCAGACCGTGCTCCCAGCATCCTGATCCACTTCATTGACATGTTCGTGTTTGGTGAGAACCCAGACAACCCACCACTTTATCCAGGACAGGTGAGAGATTCATTCAGTATACACTGATTATAGTAACATTTTTATATCGTACTACTGTTTTACTGCGGTGACAAATGCTTACATATCCTGTCCCTCGCTTTAGGTGACAGTGCAGAGAGTATTATTGTGTTTGGCGCTGCTAGCAGTTCCGGTGCTGTTACTTGGAAAACCGCTTTACCTGTACTTCAAATACAGGAATAACAGAAGAACGGTAAGCCGGGGTGAAATTAGGCTGTTCTGGCGTCTTTGATTTAATAAATAATGCAATACTTTGGCTTTACAGAGTAACTTAGTTGACAACTTTTGACTCGTAATTTTAATGCCAGGCTTTACCTGACCAACCATGTTCTTTTCTTGATCAGGTTAACCTCAAATTTGAATATTGAATTGAAATCATAAAAATATAGAAAACTATAATAATGTACCATACAATGTAACAGAGTTGACGGTCCATTAATATATTCTCTGGCAATTGTTTATTGTAAATAAAATACTGAAAAAATGTAAAGGCGTTTTACAATGTTGTGTTCAAAATGTCCACTACAAAAGAAAATAACCATATGACTTTGGTTCAAACAAACTGAAACAGGGTGCAAAAAATATTTGTGAGATAGATTATGCTTTCCATTAATGGACAAAATATGATTTATGTAAAGAAAATTATTATCATCAATGGATGTGAAATGTACCCTAAATTGTATCATATTAGAATGATCTGAAGGATCATGTGACACTGAAGACCGGAGTAAAAGCTGCTGAAAATTCAGCACTGGAATATATAACATTTTAAAATATATTTATAGAAAAAGTAATACTATTTTACTGTATTTATAATTTGTTTTAATCAAATGCAGCCTGGGCAATCATAGGAGACTTCTTTAAAAAAAATATATATCATAGCAATTCCAAACTTTTAAACGGTAGTGTAAAAAACAAACAAAAATAAATTCAGGTTGGTCTAGGACCCCATTTACACCTGGTATTAAAATGCGATCTGTATCCAGATAAGTTATCCGGATAATAAAAAAACGCATGTTAATGCAAGGTGTAAATACATTGTGATCAGATTGTATTCTGGAGCAAAAAAGTCCAGGTAAAGTACTTACCAACGAGACATGTGGCTCTTTTAGCTGAAATGTGAGCGTTCTTGCATGTTCTCCCATAGTGTGTCTGATCAAAGGTCTTGACCCTGTTTTTCAGTTACAGGAGGAGCAGCACCCGCTAGTCACAGACACCAGCTCTATAAATGCTCAACTGGGAGACCTAGAGGGAGGAGGGGGAACAGAGGAACAGGTCAGAAAAAGAAAATATCATAACACCATTCCTCAAATGAAGCTAAACTTTAGAAGTGTCAAATAGAGATGTGAAAGTGTAACATTCCAGTAGATTCAGAGTTGAAAGATTCTCCATTCCAGTCTTTTTTAACTTTACAGGACTTTGATTGGACAGAGGTTTTTATGCACCAGGCCATCCACACCATAGAGTACTGCCTGGGCTGCATCTCCAACACTGCATCGTACCTTCGACTTTGGGCCCTCAGCCTCGCGCATGCACGTATGCAAATACTCACAAGCATCATTACGCATTACATGTTCACTTATAGGTGAAATTGTTGTGCTTAGTTAGTTCTGGTTTTGTGTGTGTTAGAGCTGTCGGAGGTTCTCTGGGTGATGGTGATGAGAATTTCACTCTCGTGGCAAGGCTATGTGGGATCAGTGGTGCTGTCAATCATCTTCTCCATCTTCGCCATGCTCACTGTCTCTATCTTGCTCGTCATGGAGGGGCTGTCAGCCTTCCTGCACGCCCTCCGTCTGCACTGGTGAGAAATTCACACACAAATAAACTTAATATTGTAGTGGTTCTCAACCAAAATATTATGACACTTTGGTATTTGAGGATTTTCCTCACCTTCCAAAGGCAGCGCTCTGTGCAAATGTTTTGAAGAGAAGGGAGATTGGTTCCGATCATCCGTTGGGCCGATCTCACTACTCTCTGCAGGGCTTTATGATAGACGGCAGTGCGGTTCTCAAATCAGGCTGTGGTGATAAAAGCTTAAGATAAACGCTTAATTTCCCAGAAAGCCATTAGATGTTGAGTTTTAGTGAAGAATAGTACTTAAAGGGGTGATAAACTGAGAAATCAAATTTTTCCTTAATTTAATTTCCCATTTGATGCAGGGTGGAGTTTCAGAACAAGTTCTACTGCGGATCTGGATACAAATTCAACCCTTTCTCCTTTGCCACAATTCAGCATCTAGAGGAAATGTAAATATTCCCTGTAAGAATGGTTTTATACTTCATTTTGGAACTGAATGGTTTATCACATAAGTATAAAAGGTGATCTTCTCACCCTCATGTTGTTCCAATTATGCTTTTGTTTTATGGAAAACAAACTTTGGAAGAATGTTCCCTGGACTCTTTTTAATTCAATGCCAGCATGTCAGGGGCAGACATGCTCCAACATTTTCATTCTTGGGTGAAATCCTTCACCAAACGTGTGTCTCAAGGTTTGATTTAAGCATTCATTTAATCTTAATGATGAGAACATGATGTATGAATAACAAAATGCAGAGTAATAAAGGTTTTTGTTACTAAGAAATAACAATATTTACATTTCTCAAGATCGTGGTTATTCACAACCCCTTCACATCAAGTTTTACCTTTTTTACTTTGTCTAAATGCAAAAGAAAACTCCAGAATAAAGTAAAACAAAATGCACCCTTGCCTTTGAAGGTGCTGTGCAGAGTTAACATTAAGACATTAGAAGGATCCTATTGAGGGAAAATATGTGAATATTTAAAATCTGTACATGCTCACTGAGCAAAGAAATTAAATACCCAAGAGCTAAAAAGTAATATATTAGCCATATATCAACTATACATAAACTGCGAGATAAAAGTTTGTACATTGAATGGCCATTTTGTGCAAATCTTAATTGTACAGAAAAATCCAAAAGTCTATGTTGACCAGTGAAAATTATTTCATTTTCTTTCCTTAATACAAAATCGTGTATGCTTCAAATGGAGGCAAGGAAATCTGCCCTTTTGTACAAAGATGTCTCACGGTCAATTTGATTTGTGACCTAGAACTGAAACTACACACGCATTTTATATCATATCCCCTATATTAACAGGAATAAAACAAGATGTTCAACATGGTTTCAGACTTTTGGACCCCATTGTAGATCAGCCACCCCGTTCTCTGGCCATTAAAAATCCAAATCAGTTGACCAATACTAAATATTGAAAGAAATGTCATATTTGAATTACTTACTTTTTGATAGGCTAATTATTTTTTTCATATTTGAAGGCTTTCTATCCTGATAATAAACTTTACGCATCAGTGAAAATGAGATCTAAGCTTGATACATTAATGAATGATGTAACAATTATGCATTCTGATGAAAGGCAGTATAAACAAAAATCAAACACGTTGTTTGCGTTCCACTTTTTATTTTTCCATCTTTTTCATGAAAAAACTTGAACTAAACGAACATCAATAAAAAAAAAAGTCCTCAGAAAATAATTGCTATTGTGTTGCTACAAGTTGCACTTAAATTATAGCTTTCCAAGGGTAAATGAACATTTTAGCCTAATCTGTGAGCAACCCTTCCCAGGACAGGAGAATGCAGGCGAATTGGCCATTTGAGATGACAGCAAGCGGAACAACAAACCATCAGATGAAGGAAAACAAATAAAGAGTGATTTTAGTTTGGTACGAGCGAGTAAAAACTTAGTGTGGTCTGTTAAGTGTCAACAAACATCCAGGCAGCAAAACCTTCAGAGAGGTTGAACTACCAGAAATTGCGTTTAGACAGTCACTAAGAAAGCATGAGTGAACGATCTGGATCAATATGCTGAAGTCTTTATGATTTCGATTCATCCTGTGCTGGCACTACACTCTTTGATCAACAAGTTGTAGCAGATGAGAACTATCAGGATGTGTCATTTTCTTCCTCCTCAGCTTACCATTGACACCAACTCCTCCGTGCCAAAAGATCCAAGTCTAAACATCAGTGGTCACACCAGGACAGAATCCTCTGATCAAACCTTCAATCCCTCGTTCACCAAATCCCACTTAGACTGGATTATGAAGTTCAGTTTCAAGCATAGCAGTAACATCTTCTGAAGAAGTCGCTTTGGATAAGACTGAATGCCCAGAGAAGAAGTAGCCACACACTGGATGTGCCTGGATCGGTCTCATGGGTTGTGGGAATAAAATCCTCTTCCCTTTCAGCCTGTTTTTACCCTTGTAAAACAGCGGCCATATTCTTCCACCCGTCTCTTTGTCTTCAGCCTCATCCTCTTGTTCAGGCTAGATCAGCCTGTATTGAGTGGGATGGAGCACTCGTGAGCTCACTAAGCAGAGCTGTGTGGAGACTGTGTGTATGTATGCGTGTGTGTGTGTGTGTGTATTAGTGTGCACGTTATGATATTCTCTGAATGAGTTTTTCCTCTGTCAGACAGAATAAGGTGCAGTAGGACAGGTCAGAGATGAAGTTTTCACAGCCGTGCCGAGTCACATTCCTACAGCCTCGCAGATCCAACAGAGCCAGAGCTGATAATCGCTTCATATAGGACAGACACGCATCTGTCAACTTATTACACCCTAGAGAGACAGAGAAAAGTAAAACCACCAATCAGTGTGTACCAGACTGATCAAGACTTGTGTAAAATATGAGCATATGTCATTTTTGTGTAATTACTGCTTGTATGGCATCTTTTAAAAAATCTAATTAAACCCAGATTTAATTAAAACATTAAGTTTCTATTGTATATTTACATTATGGAAAAAAAGCCATAAAATAACCTAAAAATAAATAATTTAAATGCAAAACAGGGTAGGTGCAATTAAAAAAAAAGTTGTATTCAATATCCATTTGTATTGAAATTGGTTTCTGTGCAAATACCGCAAAACATACAAATTAGAGGTCAATCGATATTGGATTTTTGCTGATGCCATAATTTGTACAATGGCGATAAAGGGAATGACACTTTGCACGGCGGGCAAGAACGTCGTTCTGTAGATCTTGCCAGGACGTCGCAGGTTTTAATATACAAAAGTTAGTGTTGTCTCATCTTTACGTGATATGATTTAATATGATATGGGAGGATAAATACATGGAGAATGAATGACACGTTACTGTTGTACACTGCATCTACTTATTACTCACTTACAGTTACTTTGAATGCATTGCATATGATCGTAGACTTATTACTGTACTACATTGCAGCCTAACAGATTGCTAACAGGATAATACGCATTTCCCTACCCCAGCTGCTCTTGTCTGTTGTCTGATGCTATGTGGAGTGGATAAGCAGGTAGGCTACAATGTTTGACATCCTGCTAGCCATATATGATACAGTTGGCATACGTTTTTTTTCATACCCATGTTTTCGGTGCGGATTCGGAGGTGACGCTGTGTTCATGTAACCAGAGAGTGACGCTGCTAATAATGAAAAAGCTGTCATAAGGAACCGGCCAAAGTAATGATTATGAATGTTTCAAATATAGCAAGGAGACATTTTAATTGTTTATAAATAAATTTGTGTAATTAAAAAAAAAATAGTTTAGCTAATAAATAGTGACCGCAGTAGCTAGTTAAATTGCCTTTAGAGAGAAATTAACATTTCATATGGATTGCATAAGCAGAGAGTATTCGGTTTCTTTTTGTTTTAAATTGTTTAGTTTAAAATTAGACATTTTAAGCTTTCTATATATATATATATATATATATATATATACTGTATATATATATATATATATATATATATATATACTGTATATATATACTGTATATATATATATATATATATATATATATATATATATATATATATATACTGTATATATATATATATATATATACGTATATATATTTCTCGCTTAAACGCTGAGTTTCGGTTCATTTATGAGACGAGCTCAAGTTCACAAGCGATGCAATCGCGCCAGCGCCTGCGTGTCCTGATTATATTGTCTGAGTGCTATATTTGCTTCTTATTTATTAAATCCAGGCAATTTGTTGAGGAAACATTGATTAAAAATAAGATACAAAACAAAACTTAATAAAGTGGTCAAAATCATGTCTGACCCACACGTCTCCCGATATATTGCGGCGTCTTGCAACACATCCCGCCTCGCTAAAACACATGTGGGCTTTTATTTAAATATGTCTTGTTTGTATTTTTTTGTATTCCGTGTTAATTATGCTGCTGCAACACCACAATTTCCCCTCAGATTATTAGTCTTTCTATTCCATTCTATTTGAATTCAATTGAGGATTGAATTAGCCCAATAATGGCATTTTTTTTAGTCATGCTCTTAACAAACTTTATTTTATTTCCTCTTTCCATATTGTGAATAAAAAATCTGTATCATTTTAATTTGCTTGTTGCACTTATTGTAATAATTGTTTGACGCAACAATTATTACAACTACTGTTAAACTTTTAAACAAATTATTTCTTGGCATTCTCACATACTAAACTGCATTTTTTTATTGTTTGCATGCTGGTGGTATTCTATTACGTAGTGTGCAGATTGATGTTAACATTTAAGCCAGCTGGTGAGAGAAAATGGCACTATCAAAGAGTCTAAAGAGGAAAGTTGACAGCGAAATTAGCCATACAAAGAATAATAAAAAAACAACTATGTGTTCATCCTACCTAGTTTTGTAAATGCAAAGCCAGTGTGTCTTATCTGCAACTAAGTTATCGCTATTTGGAAAATAATATTAAGACACTTTATGATGGTTATTTTAGGTGTGATCCACAGACTCTTTTGAATGTCTTTCAGAACTTTTCAGGCTGCGGCACGGGCCATATAATATTGCTGTTACATAGTGCACCTTTACAGTACTTATGATTTTTATTTTGAAATGTTTACACTTATCTGCTTCTAGCTGCTCATACAAAAAGATGAGGTAGATAAAATATGAATGCTTACAACCATAACATATTACAACATAGTAAACATTGCATTCATCAACAGCAAATCATGAGCAATTGCTTGGCATAATGCACGTATTCATTGATTCCAACTTGCAACGCTGCAGTGCTTTTTCACGTTGAAATGTGTAGCGCTGACATTTATTTGATTTCATTGAAATATTTTCAACTGTTTTAACCTTAATTTGATCTGAAACTGATTTTAAAGACATTATAAGATGTTGCTTTTGCACCACCAGAAATAATCAGTTGTGTTGTATTGGCACCACAAAGAAAACCTAAAGAAAAAATGTGGAATGAAATATCAGAAGAACAGGGGTACCTGAAAGATTGAGCTGTCTGAGTGTGTTGCGAGTGTTGCAGCCAGTAGCTGTGAGAAGGTTGATGGACTGGTCTGTGAGCCCCTGGCAATGGGACAAATCTAACCGGCGCAGAGATGGCATATGTCTGACGATCATCTTAAGGACAGAGTCACTGATATCCAGACCAGACAAGCGCAGAGTGAGTAAACCTCTCAGTCGACTGCGACTTTCACTGCCTTGTATGACAGGAGAAAGTAAAGGTGAAAGAGTGAATGATTCACTTCAACTCAAGCTGTACACAGTCCCGGTAAAAATAATTATGAATGCCTCACCTGGCAGCACAATAAGGTCTTTAATTTGTGAATCTTTGACGCCCACGGCCCAACACAAGTCAAGTGTGCGCAAAACCGGACAGCTCTGCGAACTTAACGCTGACACGCATAATGAAGAACAACCTGACATTATTAAATCTTTTAAACCTGTGAGAAACAGAGAGAGAAAGAGTATTTTAGTTTTTATTGTGGTGCACTTTTTATTTTCACGCATCAAGCATTAAAGCATCAGGCAATTTCAGAGTAGAGACTGTAAAATTAAATTGTACTTGGGAGGTGATGAATGAGCCAGGCTATCTGTTTCTTTGATACAGGTGTCCAGGAGAGGTCAAGTGTCACAGGTTGTCGTTTAATGACAGCTGACAGAGCTTGGGGGGTAAGTGCCCGACAGCGACTCAGATCTATTCGTGTCCATAAGCGCTTATCACAACACCTGCAGCAGGACAGGAGAGGATCCACAACAACCGATCAGAGTAAAATCCACCCAGTTATCAAGATAACCATAACTACTTGTATTTTTAAGAAATATGAGCATGTACTTTCTAATAATCATCCCTGTTTTTGTTCGGAATGCACAGCTATATTCCAACATACATTAATTTAGCTAAATTAAAAAGAAAACGGTGTACTGCACTTACCACTTGTACCAAGCCTTGCAGACTCTCATACACACAGCCAAGTCTGTCCGACCCAAGTAGCGGAACACTGATACCCAAATGTCTTTTTCACAGCCACGCTCATTTCCAACATCACGGAAAGAGGGATGAGAGAGGAGCGAAGGAGGAGAAGATGTGGTGACGGCTGGAGGAGGAGGTGGTGGAGAAACAGAGGAACGTGAAGACATAGAGGAAGGTGACGGTGTGTCTCTGTCTCGACCATCTTGGTTGGAGTTCCGCCTCGTGTGGCGGCCGGAAGTGTGGGCGCTTTTGGACTGAGAGAGGCCATTCCCGGAAGGGGTCGAGGTACTGCTCCTGAGTCGGGTCCTGGGTAGCGTTTTGCGCTGGACGAAGCCAGGACCGCTAGGTGTGCGGGGAGACATAGCCGCCTCTAATTTGGGTACAATGGAGCCCGGGTCACGTTTGGCCTTTGGAGGGCGCTGGAGGGTCACAGTCAGGTAGGAATCGTTCAGCAGATCATCATTCAAGTCCGAGACAAGTAAGACAGGTGGATCAGGATCAGAGTCTGATTGGTTCTCTCCATCCTCATCATCTTCCTCTCCATCATCCAAGTCTTCCATCTCATCATCCTCTCCATCAAAGTCCTGTTCATCACTGTCTTCCTCATCATCATCCTCGTCATCATCATCATAGTCATCACCTCTTTGTCTCCGTCTCCTTGAACGATGATCCTTATCTGACCGGCTAAGATGCCTCTCTTCATCACTGTCATCCTCATCATCATCATCATCGTCGTCACCCTCATCATCATCGTCGTCGTCATCATCATCTTCATCCTCCGTTTCATAGCGCCGTCGCCTCATCTGGGATCCTCCTCGTAACCTTACCCGACCACCTCTCTCCCCTCTCGCCCCAAGTCCTCGCCTCATTTTCAGCGAACTTGTTGCCAAGCTGCCTCCCCCTCGACTCCCTCGATGCGAGGAGCCTCTCCAAACACCTCGCCTACCAGCTCCATAACCACGGCGGGATGAAGAGACCCCACCCCGGACTGACGACAGCTTGCCACTATCTCCATCGTCATCGCTGCCTGAATCATCATCATGATCCATTCCATGTCGCCGGTAGATCTTAGCCACGCGAGGATCGAGAGATGAAGACTTGCGTTTCTGAAAGACAAAAAAAGACTATGTGAGAGACAAAATAAATAAAAGAGAACAAAACCTACAATAAATCCACCTTTTCACAATCTCCAATTAACGACAGACAGGAAGTCATTCATTTCCAATGGAGAGAATGCAGGAGCTGCTTGGAGTCCCAATCTTATGCATATGTGGAATTTTTATTTTAATGATCAACAAATGTAATGAATTCTAATCAAAACTAATGCTACGGTCACACTAGACTTCGAGGACATTTTCAAAACAACGTTTTCAGCAGCGGTTGGAATATCACAATCAGCGTCTTTTCTAAAAATATAATTCAGTATATAATACATCTAAAAAAATGACACTTTACTGCAAATGTGCAGCTTTTAATTTCACATTCTTATAATTCAGAGATGTCATACTGTAAATCATGCTGATCAATTTTTCTATTGATCACATTTTCACAAATTTGCAGGTCTGACTTCACCAAACTGTGGATCACAGTGAAATTTGCATGAGCGTATGAATTGAAGTCAATGTAACAAAAAGTGTGAGAATTAGGGCTGTCAAACGATTAATCACATCCAAAATAAAAGTTTGTGTTTACTTAATATATGTGGGTGCACTGTGTATAATTATTTTATATATATATATATATATATATATATATATATATATATATATATATAAATACACACACACACGCTTGTATATATTTAGATTTATATATAATTTATATTATATAAAAATATTTTATATATAAATAATATTTTTTTCTTAAATATACAAGCATGTGTGTGTATTTATATATAAACAAAATAATTATACACAGTGCACCCACATATATTATGTAAACACAAACTTTTATTTTGGATGCGATTAATCGCGATTAATCATTTGACAGCCCTAGTGAGAATTACCTATTTATGCAGTACAATTTTATTCTTTAAAGACAGTTTCTGTTAAATAGGCAGTTATAAATAATTATGCACAAAATAATTAACAGAGGTTTGCCCTAGAAAACCTACTGTTTTTTCTTTTAGATGAGGTGAATAAACGGAGGGTAACACAGCTGCTTCACAACCAATATGAAAGTTGTGTCCGATGGAGGAATGTGACAATCATTTGATAATGAGTGTGGGAAGGTAGCTTATGGGACCATTTCATATAAAAATGTATGATGAAATATTTTTCCAATACCCACTAAACCACCATCCAGAAATTGGACATAAAAACAAGCAAATTTTTTTTACAATTACCGTATATATTTATGACAAAAAAATTCTGCTAACTTGTCATAAAACAACATTATTTAAATGTTACTAAATTTCACATTTTGTGTTTTTAATGTTACTTTCATTAGAAGTTTAGAAAACCATTCACAACACAATCTTCCAAAAAACAAATATAACTTACATGTGTTTTACCAGCTTCCAATTTTAGCTGCAAAACAGAATAATAACAACATACTGTGGTAAATACGAATTTGAAAAGAAAGAGCAGAGATAAATGCATCAGCACCACTGAATGGAATCACACAAGCTGCAAACCACAAAGCTAATTCTGAAACCCTCAACAAGTCAAAGCAGTGATTGGGCACGATGATGATGAACAGGGCTGGGTGGGCCAAAGAGAGAGCGAGAGAAGACACAAAAAAGGTGGAACAAATTACAGGGAAATGATTGCTGGAGGTATAGAGAGAGCAGAGAAGAGAATAGATTTGAGCGGCTGTGCATGCGGCAGCAGTGGCTTGAGTGAGGCGGAGCCTCTCACCCTCTTCCTGAGCCGCTGCTCAGGGGCTGTTGCCCGTTTCTGGAGCGACCCGTGAGAGAGAGAAGAGGGGGGCCGCCCGACCCCGTGCCATGCCCCGCCCTCGCCCCCACGCCCCCCTGACCCATCCTGTGCCGTGATGTCATCACCGCTGCCTGACGACTGGCACACAGGAAAACAGCCGTTACTGTTACACACGCACATCGGAGTGTGTACAACACAGTAAGCTCTCGGCATGCAATTTTTCTACATGGTGGGATTGATTGTGTATTTATGTGTGCAGGCCTGCATAAGCTAGTAGCATTAGAACAAAAAAACTCATTAAAAAACCCCGAAAATCTTACCTCAGAATCGGTTTCTTTGCCGAAAACACATTTGGGACACTCCCAGCAGCTCGGTAGGTCTTTGTTCACCACTCCCTCACCAGATGTCTACAGACACAGAAGAAAACAGATTTTTCAACAGTAAATCTAATTACAATACAGAGGGAAAAACTATAAATAGGCATTGCACTCATATGAACAAGAGCTGAACCATCCCACAAAGCCTCCAGTCACTATGCTCACCAGGTAAATGAATCTGAATAAAGAATTTTGAGAAGTGTATTGAATTGCTGTATTAATAATGTTTTTACCTTCAAACAGCTAGGATGAGCTATCTGAGCACAGTTGGAGCACTCCATGAGCTCTTCACTAGTCTCCTGGTTGCCTTCCTCACAGATCTCACATACAGCAGAGAGCGGCAGACCAGGCTATTGAGAGAACACACAGAGAGAAAGTGATATTAATAAATAGAAGCAAACAAGACTACATTAACCATGCTCAATGTATTGACACTCACAGCGAGACACTGGCGCAGTACACAGGTCTGTTTGAGTTTGCCAGGGCCACCAAATTTCTTCATGTCTCTGCAGAAGTTGCAGTCTCCACATTCTGTTCGTAGACAGGCCTCACAGCGTTTACAGCGCACGCGGCGCCGTCGCAGGACCGACATATTGGAGGCTGGTTTCACTGGCCGTGAAATAACGGGTGTGGTTGAGAGCTTGGGACGAATGACAGGTGGAGGGGGAGGAGGGGGCTGGTACCAGGGGGGCTTGGGAGAGACACAAGAAATGAGAGTTAAGCACTGCAGTGTGGTGGTGGGTTTAGAATAGACTATTAAAACAGAATAAAAAAAGTAAAACTGCAGATTTATTTGTTTTAAATATTATGCATTAAAAATGCAAGTTAAATCAAGCTGTTTACTATATAGCTAGTCACAATTGTCTGGGAAACAAAGAAAAATTTCTGGTCATATTAGACTCGCACCAAAATCAAACGAAAAAAGGGACAAATAACATTGTGTTGAGCAATTAATTTCATGTGGTACTGAAAAATCACTGTCAGGACAATGCTTTTGTCCCAGCATATATTAAGTTATAAAATTATTAATTATTAAACCCGATAATACAATAAGAAGTTCCTATTTTTAAATCCACTTCATACCATAAATAAATGGACGAAAAGAAAAACTCTTTAAGTTGCATGATTCATTTAAAGGGTTTTCTGTAAAGTCAATTAAAAATACTTTTAAAGAAAATAATTCTGTGATCTTACCCTCCTCGGCCACCTGACAATGGGTTTTCCCGTGTAAGAGAGTTTAGGGATGTCATTGGCATGATCTTTCAATAACGCCTGAAAGTGATAGAAAACACATTTTTCATTACTAACCATTACATTTTTAAATATTTCAACCACAATATTAAATTACTCCTTAAAGGTGCTCTAAGCGATGTCACACGTTTTTTAGGCCCAAACATTTTGTCACATACAGCAAACATCTCCTCACTATCTGCTAGCAGCCTGTCCCCTAAACACATTGTAAAAAAAATAAACGCAGTCTATGCAGAGGTTCCACAAATGGCAACAAAAACAAACTGCAGCAACCCGCTCCACGAAACATAACAAACTGTTCCAGCCAATAACTGACATGAAGGCCCTGGGGGTGGGGGTCAGAGCAGATGAGGAGGAGGGAGGGTCTATCTAGCCTCCGTTTTGTTTGAAAATACTTTAAACGTCAACAAGAAGTCACGTCACCCGACATCGCTTAGAGCACCTTTAAGCGGTGTTCACACTGCCAGTGACAAAGAAACATGATTCCATTCAATTTTAATGGAGAGCTGGTGATTTCTGGCGACACGAGTGACACTGACCATTGACAACAGGATTCAGGCGTGTTCAGCAATGTCACAAAGGCTGAGAAAAGGCTTTATACAAATTAATAGCGATTTTCAGGCACGACAACAGACAGGAGTGAAGTCAGTGGAGTGCACATGATCCATCACTGCGTCTTGTAGTTGAGTGTCAGTATTCGGTGATATGATAACGATTTGATAATATGATACCATATGGTGGAATGAGTGAAAGATGCACATTCATTCTGACAGCAGATGGCGCTGATGGATCAGCAGAAATGCAGCAGTTACCCCGGTAACCACGTAAACAAAGCACCAGGGCAACTGAAAAGTATTTAAAAGGGACACTATGCAGTTTTTTAGCTAAAGTGAACAGCTTCGGAGTTATTGAAATGGTTATATGACTTCTTTTGGGTTGAATGGTAGCCGTCTCGCCCCCCATACAGGAACAAGGAAGGAAGGGAGGGAAGGAGTTTGTCACACTATCGTCATGGGGGAACCGACATATAAGGAGCAGAAAGATAGGAAAGCATTGTCGGAGGAACAGAGAAAGAGGAAACGGCAGACTGACTGAGCGAAGAGTCCAGACTATACTGACTATACACGAGCATAGGCGTAATTTGCGGGTGTAATATGTCCACATTGATATTGTTTGAATATGTTCTGATTCTGTTCACACTTGACTTTACATTCCATTATTTAACATTAGTTTTGGAAAGTTAATTTAGCAGTCAGCAATTTTCTTATAATTTATTATAAGTCTCTGTGTACATACATTGATATGAATGGCTTGGCTTTGTGAACTCAGATAGACTGGCGCTTGTGTTTTCCCCAAAGATAAATAGCCACTCATTTATATTTAGTCCTTTGCCACAAATGTTGTAGAAAAGGAATCCGTTTTCTTGCAGCTAAAACTAAACATGGAATAACATCCATGACTGTCATTCATACATTTTACAAGGCAACCGATAGTGGGAACGCCCACTGGAGACCTAACCGCCAGGCACTGGCGACATGCAGTGACAAAGCGGCGGTGTGAATGCAGCTTATAGCAACAAAACCTAAAATTAACAAATTCCAATAACATCCGGAATCTCATGTATGTAGGCAAGTCACATTTATAAAATATCTTGTGATACAGCTTCACAAATAACACTGGCAGCAAGTGCATTTGTACAACCATTTCCAAAAAACAAAAGCCTAATAGACTATGAGTGTGAGTTCTGACCCGTATGTCGTGTAGGAGGGCAGCAGCATTGTGTATTCCTGAAGGCACACATTTCTTATGTGAGGGCAGTGACTCCAACTTCCCAATCAGGTTCCACAACCCCTCCAGCTCAAAGGGAGTCAAGTGAAGCTTCACCCCTGGCCCAATAGGTGGAGAGGGAGCATTGTTGTCATCTCTTTCCTCTTTGGTGTGGCCATTCAGTACCTCACAGCCTGAGCTTTCCTGCTTCAAACCTGTGTATTAGTATCAGAGAGAAAAATAGTTTAACTTATGCAAATCTATATGGATGTGAATAGGTTGTTAATGTACTGACCGATGCCCAAAGAGTATTTCTGGAACTCAGGGATGAGGTGTGATGTGTTGGTCATGCTGTACAGATAACGCTCCAACACGTACCAGCCCATCTCATAATAAAATGGATACCGGAACTTAGCAGGCACCTGAGGACAACCAGAGACCATTACAAATTTCAGTAACATTATTTTTATACATTTTTTTTTTACATATTATCCTACCAAATTTCCAATAATTATGAGAAAAACATCACATTCTCATTACCGTAAAGCAGTAAGGAAAATCATCCTGTCCGGACACAAAGGTTTTGTTTTTATTAAAATCAGAAAAAAAAAAATAATAATTCAGTACAGGAAATACTGCCATGATTATTTTTTTATTAAAATATATCAATTTATTTGATTGAAAAAACATTATGGATTTTACCTTTTTATAATGACAATTGATAAAATTAGTGATTACTGTTATCAAGATAATATAACAAAGCAAAATAATGCATTAGAAAAACAAAGCTGCATTTTTGAATTATGCATCTTCTTCTTCTTATAAATTTAGGATCAAAACTGACACAGACGTGTTCTTTTTGAGATGATAAAAGAACTGAAAAATGGCAACCACTGCAGTGAAATGTTGGGCTCACCCTTGTCCTGTCCTCAATGCTGGAGATGTGCAGTTGCATGGGGATGTTAAAACTATGAAGAAAATTCCCACCAAATACAAGCGCATCCACTGGTGTGTACACTGCATGAATCCAACCTGATACAAAACAAAAGTAATTTAAGAAAACCTTTTTTTCAACTACCAAATAAATTTACCCAGGTTGATTAACCAGCAAAATAGCAAAAGTGGCTCCACTTTCGGTGGATGAGAATCCATGAACCCCATTATTAGAATTTTTTAAAGCTGCTCGATATATTACTTTAGTGTTTCTCAAACTTTTTTTTAGAGGTGGGGCAAAAAAAATAAATAAATAGATGAATAAATAACAAAGTTTAAGTTTCATAAGCTCAAATGGTCAGCTTGCTCTGTTCTATGATGCGCGTTCGTGACTCTCCTATTCGAACACGTTCATCAAAATGAACAAATCTTTTCCTGACTCAACTCGTTCGTTGAATGAACCAAATGACACGAAAAAAAGATTCGTTCATTTTGATAAACGAGTTCGAACAGGAGAGTCACGAACGCCCATCACAGAACAGAGCAAGGCGACCATGAGCTTATAAAACTTAAACTTTGTTGTTTTTTTTAAATGAGCGATCGTTTCGCTTGATAAGACCCTTATTCATCGCCAGGTGTTGTTTAAAGCCCTTTGAACAGTTTGCACTGAAACTGTCTTTTGGACCTTGAACCGTTTGGTTCCCATTGAAGTCCATTATATAGAGAAAAATCCTGGAATGTTTTCATCAAAAACCTTAATTTCTTTTCGACTGAAGAGAGAAAGACATGGACATCTTGGATGACATGGGGGGGGGGGGGGGGAGTAAATTATCAGCAAAAGTTTTTTTTAAAAGTGAACTACTCCTTTAAGAAAAAAACATCCACTGTATTTTCTTAATACAGTGTATTTTCTTAATACAATTTCTCAGTGGATGTTTTTCTTAACTGCTTAAGAAATTCTTTGTAAAGTTGCCAAATATTAAAGATTAAATAGACATTTGATTAAATGATGTTTAGCCAATCTTAAACATGATTGTTGTTGTTACACTTTACAGCCTTGATGCCAATGCCATCCTCTGCAGGCATTAATATAATACAAAATGCACATACATGGCTTATGTTTATATTATGTACATTACATAAGTTACTTTCCGTGTTGTTCAATAAAGCCATTATCTAGTTTTGTCTTCACGTAAATGAACGTGTGTGTGTGTGTGCATGCTTACCCGATGGAATAATGAACGTGTTGCCCTGCTTGAGCTCAATCCTCTGACAATCAGTGGCCTTGTCACCAAGAAAGATGTCGCCTTGTTTCCCTGACAACACCCAGTTCTCATAAAGCTCCAGGTTTTGTGGCGTTGGGGGGATTAGCCAAAACACCTGTAGCAGACACAGGCAATAAGGCTCATCTAGGCCAAAAACATTTTGGGCATTTTGACAGCAAACTGATTATCAGATATAATGCGCAACAGTTCATTTGGCATTATCAATAAGCAGAAGTGTCTAAGCTAAACTCATATCCCAATGATTTCTACATGTACACTACCATTTTGGGGTCAGTGAGATTTATGTAGTTACATTTACATTGAATCATTTGGCAGACGCTTGTATCCAAAGCAACTTACAAAAGAAGAGAGCAATAGATGCAAGTCAAATCACCCATTAGTAATAAATGACATTTTATAATAGAAAAAACAGCAATTTTATTGAAATTCTGATCAAATAAATGCAGCCTTAATGAGTATAAGACACTTCTTTTTAAAATATTTTAAAAATCTTAATGACCCCAAACACTTAAACAGTAGTGTATGTGCAGTTTTCTGACCTTGCAGCCCCGCAGTATGTGGTACCACACAGATGTGCCTCCAAAGTCTATGTGGAAATCTGTGTAACAGCCCTGCACACTCATTAGGCAGTACCTGCGCACAGAACAGGCCAATTTGAAATAGTGGAAGAGGACTGATTTGTTAAAATATAATAAAGATCAAAGAGAGCTGTGTGAGAAATGGGACGTAAAGATAGAAATTTTCTATCCTGAAATTTAGGATAGAAAATGGAACACAAGAGGACTTATTTCCTGGTGAATATAGATTATCTTTTTTGTGCAATAAAACAAAATGGTTTTGAAAGAAAAAATGACTAAATAGCAATAAAAATATAAATTACAAATAAGGCTTTTTTACTTTCTAAGGAGCGGGTAAACCTTTGTTTTGCTTTGTGCAGTTCATCATTACAAGCACAAATTTGCAAGTCTAATAGCTTTACTTAAAGTTTTGAATTTCCAATCATTCCAGTGGGCAGTATCTAAGCACCAGTCTCTCTCATTTGATCAAATAACTCTCAGACAGAGGATTCACTACTGATCTTCCACTCATATTGCGTGGTCATAGTATAACCCTTCAAGTATGAATAAATAAACTATATTGAAAGATCTAAGAAATGCTCACTTCTGCACTTTGGGGTATTGCATCTCCATGATAGAGTTTGTGGCATCTCTTTGCCTTTCTTTTAAGTGCCTTGGCCACATGTTGTCCACCCAGTCAATCATGTCCACCTGTGACAACATGGAAAAATTTGGCTATAAAAGACTGGTCTAAATATTTGTATTTTTGGCACATCTAAGCGTTAAGGTACCTACCGTGGTAGGTCTTTTGACGAGGCTCTCTAGTTTAGTGTGGCTAAATTCAAGGCTGATAACATTATAAAGCTTCTCTCTCTGAGAGGGAGGAGTCTCATAATAGCGCCTCCACTGGGCCATTGACATCTCTGTGCCCTTTTGAGTAGACACATCCATCACGTCAATCATCCGCCGACTTCCTGTTAACAAAGAGGAAGGGAGAAGAGAGAGGCTGAAGCATCCCAAAGCAGCACCAGTGATTCATTCACCTTTTCACCAGATTCTGCATTTCCACCACAAAAACACTTACCTACAAACAACTTCACATCATTCACGCTGAAGTCTGAATCCGGCATTCTGAAAAGGAAACATAGCAAATGTAGATTAGATTCAAATAAAGATCCTTATCCTGAAAAAGAAACAAAACAGCAACAGTAAAAACAAATAGTCATATGTGAAACTCAAAAGGGAGGTTTTTATAATAAGAGAGTAAAGCAAATTACATGAAAAATTAAAAAAAGACAATCTCTTACTTAATTCCAAGTCCATCAGGTCTTTCAAAGATGATGGGATCCCGGAGCCCACATCTCTGCACGTACTCGTAAGAGAGGTCTAAAAAACAAAATATGCAAAGTTAAATTACACACTCTAGTGGGGCAGTTAAGCGCAAAAATCGATCACTTTGCGATAAAAGCATCAAATTTGGTAGGAAGGCTCACAAAGGGGGTCTGATCAGATTTAGGACCGTAGGCGCTTGAAATTTGACCCCTGGGGGTCATGGCGGGCATTTTTCAAAATGGCCGCCAAATATGGATTTCGTAATGGGAAATGGATTAAAAGCTGCCAGAAACATAAAATAAAATAACACATTTCATGTAAATATGAGCACACTTTCACATAGAAGATCTTTAAACTTTAAAATATAAGATATGTTTGAATATTTGCTCCTGTAATACTAAATATTACTATACATGGGTTCATGAATTATCTGTAAATTCATGTTATGTGATCAAAATTAGACATCATAGTGACAAGAGATTAAGAGCTGATCTTTTATCTTTTTGCCTCTTGCACCATTCATCAAAGCTCAGCACATCAGTGGAGGAATGCATAGTCATGTAATTATCATATGCAGCACATTGCAAAATGTACAATGCAGCCTCTGTTACTTCTCTTCGTATGAGCAACATGGGCCACTTTTAAGAAAGAGTCAGCTGTGCCTGTTGTGGTAACGTCTGCTTGAACAAGAGCCTCTACCCAACCACTTCCTTGATCCTCGAGAATGCCATCTCAATGTGGAGACCCCCAAAAAGAATCACAATTTCACCATATCAATTTGGCCATTTCCACTGTATTTGCTTGGCCAAGGCAAATAGTGGCTCGTCAAAGGGGTTCACAGGGATTTGCTCTGGATACAAATGATTAATTGCATTTCTGATGACATCCATTGAGTGCCTGATCATTGCAACTGTGTGCATGATGTAATGCAGGTGGCATCAATGTCCAGTGACTGCTGAGTTGCATGGTATGCAGCCCGTGACAAATAACTGAGATCTCCAGCTTTGTCACTTGTTGATCTGACACATTCTGTCCATTCAAACTCCTGCTTAATATACCCAGCATTGTGCCTGCTCAAGGACTGAACATGGGATGATGGTACAGATGAGGTCTTAATGTTGTAGTTGACAGGGAAGACATCTGTATAGTTTTGAGGCAAATGGTAGATTGTTTTTGAAGCATCATGGCTTATGAGATGAAACAATGTTTCGACTCACTCCTTTCCTCTCTGAAGACGGATGTTGAAAGAGGGAGATGTTGTTGAAGATGGATCATGATCAACATTATCAATAGCTGCAGTTGTGAATAGATTACCCCCCCATCATTGGTGGACAGACCACATGTGGACAGTTTTCATCTCTGTAAAGACTACAACATGATATAGCCAACAGCCATATCACCCTGTAGCCCAAGACTGGTTGCCCTCTGATGCTAGAGTAAGCAGGGCTGAGCTTGGTTAGTACCTGGATGGGAGACCTTCTGAGAAAGCCAGGTTGCTGCTGGAAGAGGTGTTCGTGAGGCCAGCAAGGGGCACTCACCCTGTGGTCTGTGTGGGTCCTAACACCCCAGTAAAGTGATGGGGACACTATACTGTTGTGATGAGACGTTTAACCGAGGCCCTGACTCTCTGTGGTCATTAAAAATCCCAGGATGTCTTTTGAAAGAGTAGGGATGTAACCCCGGCATCCTGGCCAAATCAAATTTGCCCAGTGGCCTTTGTCCATCATGGCCTCCTAATCATCTATATATATATATATATATATACCAATTGGCTTCATCACTCTGTCTTCTCTCCACCAGTAATCTGGTGTGTGGTGAGCATTCTGGCACAATATGGCTGCCGTCGCATCATCCAAGTGGATGCTGCACACTGGTGGTGGTTGAGGAGATTCCCCTCTCTATGTAAAGCACTTTGAGTGCTGAAAAAAGCGCTATATAAATGTAATGAATTATTATTATTAATTAAGTTATGCAAAGACCATACTAGATACATCTGGTCCTAACTGCTCTTCACCTGGTGAGGTGTCATTTGGGATCTAGCCCTATTTTACAGAGGCCAAACATTTGGAATGATACTTGGCCTCTAAAGCCAACATGTCACCTCCACTGAGCTGTGCCAGAAGCTTGATGTCATTGAGGACAACAGCACACTTTCGAACTTTTTCATCAATTTGAAATGTAGCAGCCTTATGAAGTCTCTCACTACCTGCAGGTTCTCCACATTAAGTCTTATCGATGTCATCATTGAATGAGGTTTTTAAAACTAATTTTTATTCATTTTCTAGTGTCATGCTCATCAGTTGTAGAAGCTCTCTTCTCAGCTCTTTGTTGTAGCATTTGATTGTTGAATCTAAGGCGACATGTATAATTTGTGATATTTTGCATTGTTCCTAATAAATGTGGCCTCTATACCTTGCCCTTTATCTAACTGTGGAATCTGTTAAGATATTGTTGTTTAAGTTAATCAAATTTTAATAGATTCCCTGCCAGATTTTTGTAACGTTCAGTTGTCCTGCCATTGGCAATTTGATGGGCATCTGAGTGGCTCTTGAGTATTATTCTGACAAATTAAACAGTTCCCAGTCAGTTATTTGTGTTGGGGGATCAGTATATCTAGGATTAAATAATTTGAAGGTTTTAGTTATTGCATTGGATCAAAGTAGTTCTTGTGTAGTGGCCTAATTGTGGTAATCATGCTAATCGTGCTAATTTACATTTTTCTTGCAAGGAAAACTCGGTCTACAATGTGATTTGTAGGCCTACCTACTAAACCACTTGCAAATAATCCAGCAGGACTCAACAGTTCTTAGAGTTACAATGAAATAAATGGGATGAATTGCAGCTAGTTTAGACAACCAGCCTAAATGAAATTCTGTGGAAATGTACAACTACTTTATTTCACAGAATCCTAACTCTAAATTCATGCAGACTAAAATCTATTTCATGTTATATTTGCCTGTCTGAGTTATGTTTGCTTACTTGCAGTATTAGCCTACACTATTTTTACTGAGTAACAGTGAGAAACACATTCAACTGACTTTGCCTTTATCTCACTTGTAGTCAAGAGTAAAACAACCCACCAGTTCCCTAGATTTTAAAGAGAATAATATATAACTGTGGCCACCACAAGATGAAACCTACTGACGGAATAAAAAGGAGTCCCTGACAAACTACCAAGTAAAAATGATAGTATATGCTCACAATTTAATATTAAATATTTAAATGTACATTTAAAAAGTACATAATTTCTGATAGATATCATAACATCTTTTCCTTTTTGTTTAAAAATGAACTAGATTTTTTTAATGATCAAATGTGCAACTTTTTTAATTGTTAATTGCTGTCGTCTATCCATTATGACATTATGAAATCCATATTTGGCGGCCATTTTTTTTTTTTTTTAAACATATCTTATATTTGAAAGTTTAAAGACCTTCTATGTGAAAGTGTGGTCATATTTACATGTATTTATGTTGAATTGTGTTATTGCATTTTAGGTTTCTGGCAGCTTTAAATTCATTTTCGCATTAAGAAATCCATATTTGGCGTCCATTTTGAAAAATGCCCGACATGGCCCCCAGGGGCCAAATTTTGAGCGCCTACGGTCCTAAATCTGATCAGACCCCCTTTGTGAGCCTTCGTACCAAATTTCATGCTTTTATCGCAAAGTGATCGATTCTGAGGAAAATCTGCGCTTAGCCGCCTCACTACTCCATAAAGATGTATATCTTTGATTGGTTCTGCAAGAACTGCAACTATCACCTTTGCCCTCCATGTGTTTGACTCGGTCAGAGCTGAAGCGGCTACTATGCAGCTTCTCCTCCAGATCGAAAGTCCTCTTTCCATCGATCTCGTCGTCGGAAATGCCATCGTCTTGGTAACGCCGCCGTGTGCCAGACCGCTGTAAGACAAGAGCATCAAACAATGGAAAATCGTTGCCAGAACAACACTATTTCTCTGCATACATTAATCATTTCCCTCCAACAGTTGAAATATTGTACAGTATAAACCACCACAGCATCAAAATGTTGGGTTATTTGAGCACACACCTACTCTGGGCTGAGAAAGATGCACTTGCCAACAATCTCACACATACATAAACTACACTAAATAACTCACTTTCATCATAAGCACTAGCCCACACACAGCAACTATTAATACAATAATATCATAAATCATGCTGATGCACAAGGATTCACTGTTGAGAGTCTTGAAGCAGAACTGCTGGTGTGGTTTCAGCAGAAAACCTCTAACGGCCAGTTTGGACAAATTCTCATATCTGTGTAATATAGCATGTTTACATCCTTAAGCCGGAGACTCACTTAACTGAGACTTTAGAGTACAGGTGAGTTTCAGTAGAGTTCAGGAAGTTTCTTTAACAAGCTCGGTTCAAAAATGTATCCTTCAGTAGAGGAAGATCCATTTAGGATTGTATTTAAAACTGGCACTGCAGTACAAATAAATTATGGATGGGGCCGATCCGATCCAGTATCGGTATCGGGACCGATACCAGCGTAATTCACGTATCGGATTTTTCCGATCCAACCTGCGGAGAAATCCGATATTTATGATCCATGTCTGCGCTTTAACGTTGGCTGCTGAAATGACTCCAAAAGGGATTCCCCGGGGCTGCTAGTCTGCTAGCTGGCTGCAAACTGTGGAATGGATATCCTGAACGGAGGTGCAGCTCAATCATAGACTGTAAAAAATAGGGCTCAATGAGACACACAGACGCCCGCTCAAGAAATCCATTCCGCAGTTTGCAGCCAGCTAGCAGGATAGCATTGAGCTACCAATATGTTCGCTGTGTGGAAATCCTATGGTGGAAATACTTCACACTGGAAACACCGCAGCAGAGCAAGACAGCAAAATGCAATGTTTGCAAAGCCGTATAAATTAAACTATTTGTCAGTGATGCATGTTTGCAATTCGCAGTCCAGAAGAGAAAGAGAGAGAGATCTCTCACGCGGTGCCACAGCATGCAGCCCTGCTTAATGAGTGACGACAGAGAAAACATAGCCTGGTTACACTTTAGATCTGTGATATTAGTCTGATTTCCAAAGATTAAAGAATATATTGAGGTAAAAAAAAAACATTAAACAATAGCCGCATTCTGTGTAGCCAACTTCCTTCCCATCGCGGCGGTGCACTGTCATTTCTCCGTAAAACTCAAACTTTAAGACAGAATCAGCACGATCGGTAATTGTTGTAAAATGCCGTCTCTGCTGTTGCTAAATTGCGGGACGCTTTTAATAATAAAAAGAGCTATTAAAAGCACAAAATTTGCGCAAGAGGGCGGCGCGCGCTCCGAAACAGACAAGCAAATTATACTTTGGGCTTCATATGCGCGTCTAAACGATCAAATGTAGCCTGCACAAAAATGTCAAAACGACCGGCTTGGAGATTATCACTTAACTACGTTCATTTTAGACATAAACGGTTTATGGAAATAGTTGGGAGAAAATATGGTGCATCAGTAGACTATGAAATCCGCACTAGTTCTTAAAGGGGCAGCAGTATAAATGTGACGATTGCGACATTACTGAGAATAAAACAACCAAAGGCAAAGAGAAAATCACTCACAGCTCTTGAATGAATAACTTCAGCTTTAATAAGCATAAATCTATCTATGATAAACTTTGCAGTGCTATTTTACTTTTGATTACTTTTTTATAATTCTTTTTAGACGATATACCTGAATAATGTTAGTAGACCTTCCTGAAATTAAAGCACTGTGTAGGCCTGTATAATGCGTATATCTTTTTTTAATTGTCTATCTATTGTTTAATATATCTATTATATATATATATATATATATATATATATATATATTGACATAGGCTACATACGTACGTATCATCCTTGCTTGTAGAGAGGTGTTTATTTCAGCATCATATAAAATCAACAATAATGATAAATAATGTTAAAGCAAACACAGGTCTGGTATCGGAAAAGTATCGGTATCGGCCGATATCCAAAGTCAGGTATCGGGATCGGATCGGAAGTGAAAAAATGTGGATCGGTGCATCCCTAAAATAAATGTCAGTGATTTCAGCAACATACACTAGCGTTCAAAAGTTTTGGGTTGGTGCAGTTTTGTTTTTGATGTTAATGCTCTCCAAGACTGCATACTTGATCCAAAAATATAGTAAAATAGTGAATCAGTGTCACACAATCCTTCAGTAATCCTTCTAATAAGCTATTCTGGTAACTGTGAGCAGCTTGTCATTGATGTACGGCTCTTAAACGCATCTGAAAGCACCGAGTCACTTATAGTGTGCATTTGAAAAAGCAAAACATGTCAAACATCTTTTCAAACATGAGAATCATTTATAAACCTCTTGTCCAACAAAAGACAACATTTAATAACATGCTTTACTCCAAACTCACTTCATAACGACAGTTGAGCATCCTTCTGTTAGATGATGTGGCTTCTTACACAGAATAAGGCAGTTGTGTGTTTATTAGTCATGATTAATCAACAAACAAACCATTTAATCTTCTGTTTATTCAGCTACAGCGATGATGCCTGAAAGAGATTTCCTGGAATGATGCGTGTTATTGTACTTTTTTGAAGCGCGAATGTTGAAGGCGAACTTTGTCAACTCACTGGAAATCCAAAATACTTCCACACCGGCGACTTCAATGAAAGAGTATACGGTTCAGGTTCTGTCAATAGGTCTCCTGCATCTGCAGTTGCTGTGCTTTCTTTTGACTGGCTGTAGCTAAGTTAGAGGAGGTTGACTACGCTTGGCCCGCCGAACGGATGTGACATTGGGGTGTGGCAGCATCGATGATTTAATTTTTTAATCCGGAGTTCGAGATCGTGACTTAATTTCGGTTGATTTCGAAAAAAAAAGGTGTCGGTCAAAGTGACGGACATTTTGATGATTTATCGGTCAAATATCGCCTCTTAATTAGTCAGAAACCCTGCACTATGGGAACTCAAGATTAACATGAGATTGGCAGAAACTGTGTGTTTTATGTACCATTTAAAGCATCTTTTGATTTTTTAAATCATTTCATAGATATATCATATATTCATTTTATTTTTAAAACAAAAAACATTATGCATTCATGTCACCTCTGAGCTGCATTAAACAGTCAGTGTAAATACATCTAAATGCTACTTCAGATACAGAGCTTCTGTTTTCTCGGCATTGCACAGAGTAAGGATTGGTAACATCCCTATAGCATCTTATTGTTCTAATTAAACATTTACTTAAGAAAAAATAATATATGCCCTTATAAATGGAACAAAAATGCAGATAAAATGAAAAAAATCCATTTAAACTTATTTGAAAACGTAATTTCTGTCACTGATGCGAACTAACTACCGCACAGAATATGAAGAATAACAAAAACTTTAGGAGTCAGCTGTCCCACAGCAGTCCTAAACCTGCCAAAGTACCACCAGCACAATAAACACACACAGCACAATATCATCTGATTATCATGACAAATACCAGAAAATAGATATATATTTTTTGTCAATTTTGCAAACCCCTAATATAAATCTTTATTTCTATTCTAAATAGAATCCTTTACGTTCACATCACTTTGGATACATTTACTGCATCCTTACTATAATTTTACTATATATAATATTTAACATTAATATTATATATGATAATATTAATTTCTTTTTCAAAAATCTTACTAAACCAAAACTTTTGAACAATAGTTTGCAGTTTTAACGATGCTGTGATGCACAAGAGCAGGTGACTAACACATACAGGAGGCACACAATGAACAAAACAGTAAGACCCTCCTCTACTTGCCCTTGCCTCTGCCCACAATGTCTCTATGGTGATGTGAAACCACTAGCCAATCACACGGCCCTAAAGCCCTGTCATCACACCCTCTCAATGACAAGAATAAAAAAAGAGGGGGGTAGAAAAAAAATCAATGAAATGATTTGGGCATGACTGTGCAATATCTTAAGAAATGTTCTCCAAAGCATTCAAAAATCCTGATTGAACTGAACATTGTGCTCCTTTGTAAACATGCAATCAAACCCCTTTATATTAGCACACAAATGTCCAAACACACCAGCCAATTATTGGTCACATAACTCTACTTTAAAGCACTATCAAGTTAAAAACATTTAAAATTAAAAACCGTGACTCAAAGTGTTCTGTTCCAATACATCAATTATGTCCTGTCTAGTTAGTTGCTTTTGAAAAATTGTCACAATGTCACCATGTACACAATGTTCCAATTCTAACCAATCAGATAGTGAGGTACAACTCAAAATGCAATTGTAAATGATCACAATATAAAGAACAGACATTTTTAAAGATGCAATTGTTATCAAGACCAATCTATGATCCAATTTCCGAGTACTAAGCACTTGTGCCCATCCCTAGTCAATGATGCTGCAGTCTTCCCAGTTTTCAGGGCCAGAGGGTAAACCCTGCCAATCTGTCACTCTCTTAATACTGTATTATTGCATCTTTCAATCTCTTCCATTCACAACAAAGATCTAGAAACTGTCAGTAACGAAAGCTGCAAATATGAATTCACGGTGAAACAGTACAACCTGTACACTAGAGGGAGATGAAATCAATCAAGATGAAACGGAGAAGAAAAAAAAGCAACTGATGGCAGGATTAAAACCTTTTCTGTTCCCTTCCACATGCAGCTTTCCATCGCCCTCTCTCCAAGCGAGGCCCTAGACCGCAGTGCGCTAGGAGGAAGCCCTTGTGGAGGGCAATAAGACACTACACACCTCGCACCTTCAGTGTCACATCATCCTGCTGGCTTTTCCTCTTCCTGCCTCTCCGCCTCATCAACAACATCCCCCCGTCAACAAGCGCAAGGATCTCCTGTCCGTTCTCCATCCCTGCATTTCTTCCCTTCTTTCAAAATGAGAAAATCTGCTGTCTGTTCTCCTCTGTCATCCTTTCGCCTCTGCAGTGCCCCCGCCCACTCCTCCTCCCCCCGTTTCCGCATGTCTGATCACATGGTCTGCTAAACCAATGTAATCATTCGTCCTCCACTTCACCAGTCTCTACAAAAACAGTCTGCACACAACAAGATCTCACATCCAGCACACTTCTCCATCCTGCTGGGTAAATGTTGCAACCAAACCACCAACATGATTACAGACCATTTTAATCATAGAGATAAATTCTAACGCATTGATTGAGATCTTTTAATTTATGTGCTACAAATTCTCTAAAACCCAACCTTTAACAATAGCACCAACTGCACATTAATAATTTTCTGCATGCACAAGTGTCTGGCTCCATCCGAAATCACATCCTTCTCTACTATATATAGACAAAAAACAGTGTGTGAAAAAATAATTATGCCTGAAACATTTCACAGTACTCATAAAAGAGTAGGTGAAAAATACCTGGATGACCTACTTCTTTCGGCTAGAATCTGAAGTGTGCATGCATACGATGAACACTTTAATATCCCATGAGGCCACGGGAGAGGATTTGTGAATGGCAGTTAAGTGTAGGTTACATGAGAATGGACGTACTACATTCGGCATGTTGTCAATCACATTCATACTTCACACACATACAGAATGTACGTTTTAGCAGTACAACACATACCTACCTACTCAGCCATTGCGTCAAAAACTAACACTCATAATCTTTACAACTGAGGGTATTGTTGGGGTAATAAAAAGTTGTTGGGATATTAAAAAGTGAATGGTGAAAAGTGAGTGACATGTCAGTTTGGATCAAAAGAATTAAACCACTTTAACTGAAATTAAGATGGCAAAAAAAACTATAAGTAGGAGCATAGAATTGATAAACTATTAAAAAAAAAAAAAATCACAAGTTTTACCCAATCGTGATGATAAACTGCAAGCTGCAGGCAGCAGGTTTCATCACAAGTAAACTCCATAAGGACTTTAATGGATAAGAATATAGTCTAGAGAATAAATATATTTAACTTCTTGATGAGGCAAAGGAAATTTAGATATCTGCAAGATCTTCAACCAATTAGCTGTGTCGACTAGTAAATCTCTAGGTGTTTTAATCACCATAATTTATTCCAAGTATGCTTTGTAAATTAATTTACTCAACAAAATCTGTAAAATTTTCGAAAACGTGAAAATGGAAATGTTTTCAGATCATGCACCTGTAATGGTCAGTGGTTGCTTGCACATTTGCTGGTCACGTGGACCTTCTGTCAGAAGCCAGCCAAGAATTCAACATCTACAGTATTTATCCTTTCCATGAAAGTGCAAAACTTGTCAAAGCTTTCAAGAAATCCATCTGCTATCTGGACGCAATTAACCGATACGGAGAACATTAAATGAAAATAAATGTCTTCATTTACACCTTGCAGGTTATTTTTTTCCCACTCAAATGACAGCACTAGTGAAAATTGCTGCAAACATTTCAACAGCAAAGGAATTTATCAGCAACTGCTCTCAATTCAGAAACTCCATTGCAGACTACCATCCAGGACAAAACATTTTATTTTCCAAATGTCTACTGTGATGTAAGGTTACTTACCAGTCGCTTGCTGTAACGCGGTTTGGGATCGTCCATTGTCAATTTGTCAGAATAAAGACTCACGCGCAGCCCGCCAGTGAACTGACAAGTCGCGAGCCAGCGAACGCGCTTCTGTCAGTTTATCCCGTTAACGTTAGAATTAACCGCCACAAGTTCAACGGTTTTCGATGGACACTTTATTACTAATAATATTAGTGTCCGTCTAAACGAAATAACGACACTTTACATGGATACTGCCTAGATATAATAATCGCTGTTTTCAAATACTTGGAAACTAGTCCGCAGCTTTTTTCACATAAAACGGACCATTACGCTACAAAATATTGTATTATATTTCACACCAAAAATAATAAAACAGCGGGTCATAATAAAAACCATGACAGCTAGGTTGTCAAGCTAATCGCTGCTGAGGGGAGAGTGAGTGAACGAGCATCAGCACCAGCCTACAAACATTACGCGGGTGGTAAAAAAAAATGAAATACAAAGAGATATGGGGTTTTACTTATACATACGGCTTATATGTACAACGTATAACATTGCAGTCACCCATGAGTAGTGAGGCGAAGAATGAAGAGCGTATATTTATCGAGTAACATACGCTAATCTCGGTTCAAGTTTAAAATAAAAACACATTTCCAAAAGACTTAAACTCGGGCTCACAGTGGGGAAAATCCAGCGGTCAATAGTCCTCGTGTATTGTTTACTAATAAAATGTTCACTCCGACTAGACTCGTCTAGTAACTTTTATATTCTAAAGTAAGCCTTATTCAGACAGCTCCACTGTGTGAATTCACGACAAAGTTAATGTAGTAGAATAGATCATTCGCCGCCATTTTCACATCGTCACCAAAACACCACTGAGTAAGCCCCGCCCTCTACAGACTCGGCATCCAATCACAGACACATGCGACGCCATCGATTTGACTCCCATTGGTTAATGCTGCTGTCACTTCACATGGAGGCGGTACTAAGAGACAAATAATAGCGCAAGAAACTAGACGAGCCATGCTCTCATTGGCTGGAGTTGCACGCCGATCAAAACAGCTACACAAAGATTGGCTTACATGTGCTGTAAACTTCGCGTTGCCAACCAATCAAATAGAAAATATCAACACACTCATTCAGTTTTAGCAAAATGTATGTAACCAAATTGTTTTTAAGTTATTTAATATGCGTAATGTGATTAGTAAAACATAGCCTTTAAGTACCTTAGATCTTACGTGGCTTGGCGTCCCATCGCCGGCGGATGTCCAGTCCATGACTGCATATAAAGCTCTGGCTTGTGGCGTCTGGTGAAATATATCTACATTTTCTTTCGAATTAGCCCAGTGTAACTTCACACAAGGTCATCATGAAGCCATCGACATTCCCTTAAATCCAATAAACCGTTTTGAAATACTATGAAAATTGGTACACATTGAATTTTCACCCGTAATCGACCCCAGATAACTCCGCATGGTAAAACTTTTTCGTTTATCCCAATCGATCAGGAAGTAGTTGCTGATTGGTCAGCAGTCATCTAACCCGCAGCGATTCATTGGACTAAACATCTGTCGATAATCACAACGTCACAATCAACTCCAGAAAAGTGTATCGCATAAATAAATCAATAATCATTTATTGCTTGCTTTTAAGCCTTGATGAAAGAACGACCACCACAGATTTTTAGACCTCGGTCTTTTAATCACAACCACTCAGTCTAGACGATAACTCAAGTCAGACTACTGTATAATTAAACTCCGGTGTCTCCAAAATATACAATCCTACTATTATCACTTACAGAAAAATACTAGGCTAACTGAAGAAATAAACTAAGAGCTATCTGCATTAAATAAGTGAATGGTCAGTAACAACAGAACAACTCTCATTGAAAATCTCACAAATAATGTGACAAACACTAAATTAAAAACATGATTTAAATGTTTAAGTTTCCAGTAAGGATTAAGTGGGCACAAAATATTTTTGGTAGTGTAAAATGTTTCACCTGTCAGTTAAAAAAAAAAAAAAAATGAGGCCTCAGAAACAAAACGTAACCTCTTATTTATCTTTTATCATCATACATAGGCTTTATCATAAATTCCACATAAAACAATAAAATAATTTATGGTTTGCCCAAAAATGAAAAACGTGTCATTTACTCAGCCTTGCGTTGTTCCAAACCTGTATGGAAGACAAAAGAAGATGATATTTTGAAGAATGTTGGTAACAAGACAGTTGACTTCCATAGATACGATGGAAGTCAATGGCTACCATGAACTGTCTTAAACCAACATTCTTCAAAAAATCTTCTTCTTTTGTGTTTTATACAGGTTTGGAACAACATGAGGGCGAGTAAATGATGACAACATTGTTGGGTGCACTGTCCCTTTAAAGCTATTTTCATACCACAGCCCTAAAATTGACAGCTAGCTATTACATCACATTATACTATGATGCCTCTAACAATGCAAGGCCAACTGATAAGACAGGAAGAATGTAAAAGACCAAATAAACATAAAATAATAAACAAAAAACACAAAAAACATGTTATGTGTCAGTAGGGATGCTCATGGTTCACCGGCACTAGGATTCTTCTCTTGATTTTTGATAGAGACTCTGGACTTGGTAGATTAGACAATGTCTTTATCTGAAAAAGACAGGATGTTACTCACAAATAGTCAACATAGAGTTTTATGAATGTAGCTTTATGAATGCTTACCTTGAAGATTATGAATGCTTACCTTGAAGTTTATGAATTCTTACCTTACAGTTTATGTCAGCCAGCTATACACCAGAGAACCACCGATGACCGCAAGAATCGTGCAACACAGCATGATCATCATCTTCTTCTACAAAGTCGGAAGTGAGTGGACAGTGACAGCATGATAATGATATAATAATAGCAGAGGAAAGCAGGGGATGATTGGGAAGGAGAGATTTAGAAGGTGTAGAGAACAGACATATACTGTAGAGATGGGGATGAGGGAGAAACCGAAATATAGAGAAGCAAAACAGAAGAAACTCAAGGGATGATGAAAAATAAAACCTGCTGAACATAAAAAATTGCTGCAAATAGTGTTTTTTATTATATGACACAATTGTTTTACTCCGCATAATTTCCAAGCTCACCCTGCGTGCTTCCTGTTGGAACTTGGCAGCCTTTTTAGTGTCAGCCACAGCTCTTTCCACAAAACCCACGGACTGGTCCATGTTGCTCTCAATTCTGTCAATCATACTTCCCTGTTGACAGATAAGAATAAAATGCTGAAGATATATAATAGACCGGTGTTCAACCTGAATCAAACAGCAGCTGTAATCATAAGGCATCTGAGATGGGGCTATATCTCTGCTTTATGCTCCACAAAAGACAAACACATGTACCTGATTCTCCACCAGCATTGCAATGTCCACGAACATGTCATGCAACTCTTTTATGCTGCTCTCCAGTCGCATAATATCTTTGTGTCGCGCCTCAATCTCACTTAGTGCCTGTTTTGATATTCCAGAGTCCATAATCTATAGAAAGGGAGAAAGTTGTTTAAATAATAAACACACACTACTGTTCAAAAATTTTAAATCGGTATGATTTTTTTATGGGTTTTTTTCTCTCTCTCTCTTTTGCTCACCAAGGCAGCATTTCTTTGAACAGAATACAGCAACAATTTTAATATTGTGAATTGCTATTACTATTTAAATGACTGTTTTCTATATTTTAAAATGTCATTTATTCCTGTGATGGCAAAGTTGAATTTTTAGCATCATTACTCCAGTCTTCAGTGTCACATGATCCTTCAGAAATCATCTAATATGCAGATTTGGTGCTCAAGAAACATTTCTTGTTATTTTTAAATTCTTAAAACAGTTGTGCTGCTTTATAGTACCATTTATAGATTATCAATACCATTTATAGAATATCAAGACATAATATAGTAATCAATGACTACAACTAACCATTCATAAATGCTGTCTACATATTGTCACTTCTTATTGAGTCTCTCCATCTTTGTCTGACTCCGGTTTGAACATAAAAGGCTAAAAGTTTTTGAAATTTTCAGTGCATGTCTGTGTGAGGTAAAAGGACACAAGCTGTTGTAGCTCCGCCCCTGTGCCGGGAGCACCAGCTCATTTGCATTTAAAAGGACAGACACAAAAAACTGTGTGTTTTTGCTCACCTTCAAAAAGGGACCATTTTAACATGCTATATATAAAATATCTGTGGGGTATTTTTAGCTAAAACTTCACATACACAGTCTGGAAACATCAAAAGTTTACTTGACATCTTGTGAAAAGGGCATTGTACCACCCATTTGAATCCTTGCTAAATAAAAGTATTAATTTCTTTGAAAAAAAAAAAATCTTTCTGACCACAAACTTTTAAACGGCAGCTTAAGAAAAGTATCTTTTAGCTTAAAAACATACAGACAAAACATCACACGGATAAGTATATAGAATAGTACTCACTCCTGCAGTGAATACTGCAGCGTTACCTCCTTCCAGCATTTCCTCCAGTTCCTCATCAGTAGTGACTTTGCCAGCTGTAAGACATAAGCCAACATCAGCCTAAAACATGCATATAACATTGTAAACACTGATTTTCTTTTTTAAATCAAAGCCTAAAGAAGATTTGTGTATCTGCTTGTTACTCACTGATCTCCAGCTGTCTTTGGATGCGCCCTTTGCTCTTCTCTTTAAACTCCATTTGGGCTTCATTGTATTTGGTCATCACCTCTACAAACTTCTTAGCAAGAATGGCTTGCTAAAATGTAGGAGATAAACACTGTATGAATAAAAAATCAACTACTTGAAATCCTTGTGGGCTTGTGGTAGAGCTAGCAGTTACCTGAGATTTCTTTATCCGTACATCTGCTGAAACCCTCTCCTCAGTGTTAGATGCCAAGCTCTGCTCAATGCCTGTCAAAAAAATCCGAATTTATAGACAAGAGTGCTGAAGCATATTGTCCAATTACTGATATATTTTCATGAACAAGCAACGCAAGAGCTGAATACTGACTTTTGAGTTTGTTGCGAGCATTGTTGGCCATTTTCTTTATCTCATTAGTAACTGCCTCCAATTCGTCCTGCGTCTCTAGTTGAGAAATGAGATGAGAGATATTTAAAACCTGAACGTGGTGGGGAGATGACAGAGAAAAATGATAAATCTCTTAAAAATAAAAGTAAAAAATGATTAGACTAACTCTGGTCTGATGTAGGTGCAGAGAGGATGACAGAATACAGTCGCTTTATCTCGGCTATATTTTCATCAATCTTGTCTATGCTGCTGCGTATTTCCTCGATCTGTAGAAGACATACAGAAATTACCCAATTGTGATCTTCAAATGTCCACTTTCATTTTCTTAAAATGTAGTTAATTCACATATAGCCTACCTGAGTGAAGAACTCATCCATAAATTCTTTATTTTCCATTGGAATTTCCACATCGTCAGGAGCTTGGTCCGACTTCTATTTTGACATACAGGAACAAAGCAGAAAACGTATTAATTTGGCAGAAACAGCTTTCTCTGTGTAAAGATAAGATTAGCAAGCTACATAAGCTTTTTTTTTCAGCAACCTTTATTTGCTTTTGTCAGAAAACTTATAAATAGAACCCATTGCAGTTTATCTTCAAAATTTCAACAGAAATGGAACATTACAAATTTTGACATAAAAAAAAACATATTTTAAACAGATTTGGTATTACAAGTTAGTATGATGTGGATGCTAGTGAATCTCATCTATTAATGTCAGACGCGTTAAAGGAGTAGTTCACTTAGTTCCATGTCAAACGCAGTTAAAGGAGTAGTTCACTTTTAAAAAAAACTTTTGCTGATAATTTACTTTATTATTTTACTTGATATTTTACTTATTTGTCATCCAAGATGTCCATGTCTTTCTTTCTTCAGTCGAAAAGAAATTAAGGTTTTTGATGAAAGCATTCTAGGATTTTCTCCATATAATGGACTTCAATGGGAACCGAATGGTTCAAGGTCCAAATGAGAGTTTCAGTGCAGCTTCAAAGGGCTTTAAACAACACCTGACGATGAATAAGGGTCTTATCTAGGACCCTTCGAGTCATGATTTGAAAAAAGATTTGTTCATTTGATGAACGAGTTTGAACATGAGAGTCACGAACGCTCATCACAGAACAGAGCAAGGTGAGCATTTCTGCTTATAAAACTTTAACTTTTTTTATTTATTTTTTAAATTACATATCGTTTCACTAGATAATACCCTTATTCATCGTCTGGTGTCGTTTATTGCCCTTTGAAGCAACACTGAAACACTCATTTGGACCTTGAACCATTTGGTTCCCATTGAAGCCCATTATATTATGGAGAAAATCCTGGATTGTTTATCCTGGATGAAATGGGGGTGAGTAAATTATCAGCAAAAGTTTTTTTTAAAAAAGTGAACTACTCCTTTAATATGTTGTTTGCCCTTTTAACCTATTTGTATCATGAGTGTGTGTAATTAGATAATCTAACCTTACTACGCGCAATTAACCATAACTCCTTACAAAGACCCAGTTAGTCAATACTGAGCTCAGGACCTCCTAGGTAAAGGTCAAACAGTAGCAATTCAGTCAGTGAAATAATAACTCATATGAAAAATCCTCTTACCGCTTTTAGTTGTTCCAGTCGATCCTTCATCTTCGGTTCAATGTAATAAGAGACTTCAAATAGCTGTAATGGTCAATATACAAGCTAAAAGATTCCAGCGACGATGTTTTCAGACTGGACAACCAGTAAACATGTTTAACTACAGCATGAATACCCCCAGTTAGAGAGTTCCAATAGAATCGATAAGGATTACTGATTAGACAAAATATTCTATTTTAACTAAAAATATTCTTTTTTTATTGCAAAACAATCAATATGGCAGTATAGCTTCTATCTTGTAGTTGTCCTAAGTCTATCCTCTCAAAGCGGATTAGAGCAACAGTTGTATGCCGGGTAGCTAATCTTCCTTTGCTGAGGTGCTTCAGTTTCTCCATTAACACAGAACGATGCAAACAGGCTTGCCACTCGGATCGCACACAGACTGGAGGACTAGAGTGACACTTAAAAATAAAATTAAGGAGTTAACAATTCAAACATAAAAATGGAAATAAATTAATACTTTTAAAAATAAATTTAAATACATAAACTGTTTAATTCATGTTTTAAAATGTAGTTAAATAAATCCCTAAAAAATTAATTGAAAAAAAAAACGTAACATATTAGCCTATACAACTATTTAATTCCATCCAACAAAAAAGTCGAGGTGGGTTGGGTCACTTTTGAAGTAGTCCGAATGTCTGTAGAGAAAATTCTTAACTAAAAAAGCCAAATGAAGTATAAATGTCCTTGGACCCACCACTCTAACATTAATTTGTCATCATTTGTGGTAGAAATTTTGATCATTGATAATATTGATTGATAATATCCATACATAGACACAAACTCACTCACACATTGGCAGTGTTTTTGTTAGACCTACATGTTCTTTATAAGGGTACACAAAACATAATTCGATAACATTGTCCATTACCATGCCAAACACTCATAATTATGACAGAAACACATAAAGAAGTAAAACACAAACTAGAAACATAATATAGACGTAATGAAGACCAAGTTCCAGTGAAATATCTGTCTTTAAGTCCACCATTTTGGTGTAATTGAGTGGCAGTTTCTCTCTACAGAGGAGGTTATGGGATGTGGCTACATCTGGGAAGAAATACACAATTGAGTTTAGAGTTGGAGTGTGTCCTTTTCATTTCAATATGTAAAAATATTCATGTTCATGAAGGACAAAAGTAGCAAAAATGGACAGTATGAGAGTCTTTTACATGTTAAAAGGCAAACAATCATATAAAGTCATGGGATAGCTTTTTTTTGTGTGACTGGGTATGTTTACGCATAAACCCAAGTAATAAACAAAATCTAACAATATTAATGATAAATTCAATATCTACTGTATACTTACTGACACTTTTCTGCACTAACTAAACAGAGCTGGCCACATGTTGTGTTAAACTAGAAAAAGTCATAATTGGAAGGAAACAAGTTACAATTTGAAAGTTAAAATCTATAGCCTAATCATTCTTTTTAATAAAAGAAATAATTTACCTGTTGAGAATGTGTTGACAATATGTGTAGTTGGATCCTTGAGCTCCAGAAAACCAGTAATGAGGTGGCTTTGACAGTGATTTGAAAACAAAAAGGCGGTAATAAAGAAGCCTAAACTTTACATTTTCTATAATTTATTAGAAAACGGTTCAAGATGACGTGGCTCTAAATAGAACTGATACTAAGTGTAAATAACTATTTTTCTGACGGTTATAATACAACAATAAATATTTCACACCCCTTAAAAAGAAGCAAAATGAAAATTATCTTAAATATACATCTTTTTTATGAAGCCGTCCAAAATATTGCAATTTAGAAAGAAAAGCACGAGACTGAAAGACTTAGACAGAGCATTAATTTATTATATACGGTACACAAGTATTTAGTCTTTGTACAGTTCTCACGAGGACAAATAAAATGTTTTACCTGTAAGGATACAATGTGAGAAACTCAACACTTTCTGAAGTGCTTTTGTTTATTACAACTCTTTCTTTATTTAAACCCACTGGATGGTCAAAATCTGAAAGGAAGAAAATGGGGAGGTTCGACTGCTGCAAAATGAGAATATAACATTGTCCACAACTTGGTTCTCATGCCATTAGACACTTTTTATTACACAAGTGACCTCAGTTTCTGTGTGACGTTGTGACACGTGTTCAAAGTCAAAATGACAGCTGTAGATGTACAGAGAAATGTTTTAATCTGTGTGTGAACTGAGCATCCATAAGTATGACCAAGTTGAAAGAAATCGAAAAAGTATGTGCATCTTCAAAAAAAGAATTCAGTCCCTGGGCATTGAAAATGTGCACTCAGCACAACTGTAACTGTCTAAAACCAATTCTTCTTTATGCAATTGAAACTGTGATTATTGGTAAGAGAGCATGTTGAAGACTATATTGTCACTGTTGAGATGAGATAGTTCATGAAGCTTGTTTATCTATAGAGATAGTCAGCTTGAATGTTGGCAGCGATCTCAGCCTCCCACTTATCTCCATTGTTGAGGAGCTTCTCCTTATTATAAAGCAGTTCTTCGTGAGTCTCTGTGGAGAACTCAAAGTTGGGGCCCTAAAAAGACAGAGGAGTAGAGGTAAACATTAAAGGAGAACTCCGACACAAAATGAATCTTTGGTCTAATAAAACATTGGTACCTAGTCAACCGTTCTCTGAGATTTGTTTTCATGATAATCGAATGTAAAGAGTTTTATCTTTAAAAACTGTTTAGTGTATAATGCTAGTATATGGGGACATTTAATAAGTAAAAAGAAATCGCTAGTTTATACCCCTAACAAGGCTCAAAATAGCCCCACACTAACACAGTAACATAATGAGGGTCCATACATGCAAAACAAAGGATTGAGAACTTTTTAAGTGTACAGACCATTTAATAAAAAGATATTTTATAAAGATAATCCACTTTGTGTATACAGACAGGAGCCATCTTTGGAAAACAGACTCGATAAGTTGAACCACTTCACCGTTTATGTCGAGTCAAGCAGATACTAGGCTTATTCGTAGTCTAAAATAGTCTGAAAAATAAACACTTATTATGTGTTCAGTAGTGATTCAGGATAAGACAAAAAAAAAAAAAAAAAACACAGTTAGGAAAATGGATTCATGATGTACTCGCTTATAAATTCTGAACACAAAAAGTTACGGACTGCAGCTTTAAGCAAGGATGTATTAAATTGATCAGTAAAGATACAGCAAACTACAATATATATATATTAGGGCTGTGCAAAAGTTAATTACGATTAATCGCATCCAAAATAAAAGTCTCTGTTTACATAATATATTTGTGTCTGCTGTATATAATTATTTTGTATATATAAATACACACACATGCATGTATATATTTAAGAAAATATGTTATTCATATATAAAATATTTATATTTATATAATATAGATTATGTATTTATAAATATATACAGAATTTAACCGCAAATAATTCTTAAATATATACATGCATGCATAGGTATTTATATATACAAAATAATTATATACAGCACACACAAATATATTATGTAAACACAGACTTTTATTTTGGATGCGATTAATCGCAATTAACTTTTGCACAGCCCTAATATATATATATATATATATATATAAAAATTACATTTTAAAATATATTCTAATAGAAAGTAATTTAAAAGTGTAATAGTATTTCACAATACTGTTCACACTGTATTTTTGATCCAATATACACAATATTGGTGAACGTAAGAGATTACATTACAAAAAAATCTTACTGACCCTAAACTTTTGAATGATTATGTATATCCTATTAGTTTTATCTAACTTTATTTTTATATTGTGCTGTATTATCTATCTGACAGCTCTAAAAATACATTCTGCAAACTTTTTTTCCACAGATCTCCTAGAAACCATTTTGAACACCTCTACTTTAAGGCATGTTGTCTGAAAACCGGGATGGCGGGATGAGCAGTTGAAATGTGTGCTGCTAGATGCTCACCTCTACAATAGCATCCACAGGACAGGCCTCCTGGCAAAAGCCACAGTAGATGCATTTGGTCATGTCTATGTCATAGCGCGTTGTTCTCCTGCTGCCGTCAGCACGAGGTTCTGCCTCAATTGTAATAGCCTGAGTGACAGAAATAGGGTGCATACATTACTTTTATTTCCTTGTAATTACTCATCCTAAATAAACATACATGCAATTACTGCTTTTCATTACAGTGTCATAATATATCAGGATGAACAAGGGCAGTTAGAAAGAGAGTGTACCTGGGCTGGGCAAATGGCCTCACAAAGTTTACATGCAATGCATCGCTCCTCTCCAGAGGGGTACCTGCGCAGAGCATGTTCACCACGGAAACGGGGAGACAGAGGGCCCTTTTCAAATGGGTAGTTGATTGTGGCAGGTTCACGGAAAAGATAGCTCATGGTCATTCCCAAACCTGCATCAAAACAAATATCAGGTGGCTCTTACTTTTTCAAGTTATCAGAATCATTTATATGAAGACTTTATGGAAGATGAAAGGCTTTTGTTGTTACTGACCTCTGAACAGCTCTGTCCACAGAAGAGTCTGGGCTGCACGGTCCGTGACGGACTTCATATCTGTGGCATCTTCCAGATTATTGACATATTCTGCATATAGAAAAAGAGAGTTATGAAATTCTAATTATGAGAAACTTGCAATATATTAGAGTGGCTCCTGTTTTTGTACTATGAGATACTTACTTATCCCTGCTCTGTGCGCGGATAGGCTGAGAGGACGTGCAAGACATTGACTGGCCAGAAATGATCCTAAGGAGTAAATACGTAACATAACATCACACATATGTGAGCCAAGACCACCACATATTAAGATATACATAAATCCCACTGTATTCGTATGTATCTATTTCATAGCACCACCTGGCCTTGATACGGTGTAGACCACACGTAACGCAGCAGACATCTCAGTGAAGTGAACTGTGGGAAATAGGGACAAGAATGAGGTAGTAGGTTTGTCATGCATTTGCTCAGGTTACAACACTAAACATTCTGGTGGACATCTACTGACAATTTTTAATCATCTAATTTACAAAAAAGAAAGAAAATTAGGTAGTTACACAAAATAGTGTGCCATGAATTACTTCCCCTTACTGAACGTAAACAAAAACCCTAAAACATTGGTTCCGCTCATATCGCGAGGCAGCAGATAAGTTACATAAATGTGGTTAATTTGACAACCACACATCAATTATCACTAATTAATTGTTAGACAGCATGTAATACGTCCACAATAATGCATAAAGCACTGTTTGGACAGTAGCAAGTGGCTTAAGGACACGAACTAAAGCATGTCAAGCAGACTAGCTTTCGACACATTAACGCTACACTGACTGTTCAGTTTCATTAAGACATCGATGTGTAGTTACATATGTAATATTTCCATAACTATCTGTAACTCGGTGTTCATTTATTCGATCTCAAATGTTGCCCGTGCAGTGTTTGTAGTAACGTTAGCTTAACCACAGGCAGATTTCTCAAGGACTTTCAATGACTATACTGCCATTATTTGTATAACCTTTAAACCAATGTTTGACTTCTTAATATTAAATTAATTATATCGGTTGCACAAATGCGTTTATGCGTTGCGTGCACACACAAAAAGACAAAAAATACAGTTGAGTTTAAAAATCTGTTCGTACTCACCGGACAGTCGCTATTTGGCCTTCTCAACCAGAACAGCGAGCGGACGATTGAGGAAATGCACACGGAGAACGCCGGAAGTGAGATTTTCTTACAAAATATAGGACGTACAGAATTACAATTAAGTATACAAAATTAAAATATTATTTTAAATATTAAATTAAAAATAATAATAAAACGGCCTTTATAATCAGATTTTTATCGTTTCACTCTCATAAAATAATCAATAGTAGTCCAGGATTTGTCATATTTTTCATAGAAATTGTATAATATGACATTTTATTAAATCGTCTTAACAGATCCTTCACTCAAACATTGGATATATATTTTTTCAACATTGTTTCAGCATTGCACAATGATAATGACTTACAATAGTTTTCAAAATATGTTCATAGTTCAGACAGACACGACGAGTTTTATACACTACATTTTGGGTTCTGCAGGTGTTTAAAGTCCTAAAATGAAGATTTCTGTGTGAGGAAACGATTTCTCTTATAATGGTCTGCTGCACACAACCATTAGTGCCGTCACTGTGAAAAAAGCTGAATACGTGTTCAATGGTTAAAGCTTAATGAAGCAGGTTAAGTTTAATTAAAGAAAGCTGTGACGTATGTCCTCATGTAATCACGGCATTCAGTGCTCTCGTATCACATATCCAGAAAACAGCCGAGTGTGAAGCTTTCCTTTTTCTAGGCTAATTGTTGGGTTTATCTGTAGGTCTCTGCTTCGGTGACAAAGTAAGTAAACCACCTTTAAACAAAATTCTCTGTACCCTAATTTTATATTAGGATAAATAAAAAAAGCAAACGTGATAGCCTATGCTTTTTTTTAATATACATTTTAAGTTGTTTTTTCTATATTAGCATTGATGGTTCTTTAAAGAACCTTTAACATCCATGGGACCTATTGCACAACATTTATCATGCAAAGTTTCTTTAGATTATAAAATGTTCTTCGCACTAAGATTTAAAAAAAAAAAAAAAAAGTTTCTTTGGCAAACTCAAAATCACTGTGTGAAAGTCTCATTTTGAAACTTTAATTTTTACTTAGCCTACTCTGGTTGATGTAGACTATAAGCAGGGCTTGACTTTAACAACAAAAAGATGAGGGTGGGTTTCAGCAGTGGCATGATTATTCTTAGTTTCTCCCTCATGGACTTTTAGTTTGTGTCCTTCTGTCACATCATGTCTCATTTGTTCCCAGTTTCCAACCACTTGTTTGTCTCTTTGGTTACTCATTGCATTCTAGTTTCTTTCTATGGTTATTCATCAGTTCCCTCATTTGAATCACCTGTGGTAATAATCAATCATCTTTGTTTTCACTTAGAATATGCCTGTGTTTTATTTCTCATTTGTCGGTTCTCGTTAATGCTTATGTTAAGTTTGATGTTGTTGTCTTTCATTTAAAAAAAGTCTGTTCACTTTTATCTTCATCTTCACTTCTACACCACACTCAGCCAAAGTGGGACAGCAGTCACTCCTAGCTACTTTGGTGGGTTAAATTTTATATATAGGCCTACATTTTCTCAATTGTAGTCTTTTAAAAAGGCATCTGAAATAATAAACTTAGTGCAATGTAGTGTTGTCAAAATAGATAGCCTACATACATATCTATACATATCCATACTGAAATATCCGAAACACTTCCAATACTGCAAAATAGACTCTCTCATCTCTCAGACAATGATTTGACACACAAACACGTGTCCCTTTACTCACTCGTTTAATTTTCTCCGGGTGAATATTGTTGGTGTTACATGGCTTGAATTTCTGTGCAAGATAATTTTTATTTTGGCATAATTTTAATCATTCCCGCAGATTTTGTGCGCGCATATAAAGGTGCCTCTCAGTAATAAGTTGATTAATTTAATTACATTTTTTGCTGCTTATTGCATTTAAACAGTCCAATACTCACAAAAGAATGACAAAATGCTATAGTCTTGGCTAGTATTCACGTAAACAGTCAGTTGTGTTTTAACTTTCAAGTGAATGCCAAACGTTGAGAAAGAAAACACGTGCATAATTTGTATAATGGGAACAGTATAATGGGTCCATGTATCAGGTCTTAAAGTGACAGCAGCTTAATATACCTGCTGCCAAATTAGGAGATAATATTAAAATTATATGGTGCAGTGTAGTTTCCCCACATTGATTCGATGTCAAAATTGTGGAAACCCGCTATAGCCACATTCACTGGTGAGCAAAAAAGTTAATGTCAAGCCCTGGCTATAAGTATTTAATTTTCATTGCTAAATTGATTCTCGATTCTTAGAATCTGTGACATTTATGCATCTTATTCCTTGCAGTGAACACTTCAAATAATATAACGGAATCAGAGGAGAATTATTGGTCCAGAATTGAGAAGTCTGTTCTCGCTCCCATTCTCACAACTGAGATGGTACTGGGAGTTTTGGGAAATGGACTGGTTTTGATAGTTAAAATAGTGGTAAGAATAATGTATCATTTTATGTTTTTTATCCCCTCAGAGAATGTTTTAAAATACAATGACCTGCCTCATGCCTTTATTTATTTTATTTTCTGCCTTCTCACAGTGTAAAGACCATTATCAGTCTCTTTACTGGCTGCCACTTTTGAGTCTCACGCTCTCAGATTTCTTCTGCTCCATCCTCGTAATCTGTGGCTCCCTCTTAGCCGTACTGAGTGATGGTCAGATTTCACCATGGTGTGAGGTGGTGAGCCTGCTAAAGTTCACCTTCATCACCTCTTCCATTGGAAGTGTAGGTATGGCTGACATTGGACAATTTAGGGAGTTAATTATAGCTCTATGGGATATCTTTACAAATACTGCTTTCATTGTCATTAGTAATAAAGGACAATAAACAGCCTGAATGAGTGCAGACAGGTGCGTTGGACACAGGATATATTACGAGGAAAGAAGTAATCGTGCACACAACCATAGCTTTCATTCTTTTTCAAGTATTTATCTAACAAAAGTAATGTGACCACCTTCAGATATTCAAACGATTTGCTGTTTTAATTAATACTTCTTACTAGTGTTTAAGATTTTTCTTCTTTCATTATAATTAATAGCCTAATAAAATGTTTATTATTATTATTTGGTTATTTAAAGTGATTCTAATGTTTTTGTTTGTTTAAATTAAAGCAAATTAGAGTTATTATAAGAACTAAACTCCTGTTTGAGCCTTATTTTATTTCATCTATAAAATCTATTAAAAAAATTCTATAAAAATATTTATGCTATCGAGGGAGGGGGTAAAAGGGTCAAATTCTTAGAAGAAAGTAGAAAACAAAATTATTCTGAGAACTAAACTCCTTGTTTGAGACTTCTAAATTATCTAAATTAAAATTATCTATATACAGTGTTAAGACACATTTATACAATAATTTTTTTTTCCACTTTCATTATTTTTTATTTGGTTATTTAATTTTTAATAGTTTTTTTATTTTTAGAAAAGGGTAAAATTCTTAAATGATTAAGGGAAGCCTTTGAACTTTTTCAAATATTTGTTTTAATTAAATTGAATTAAAAGTGAAGTTATTCTGAAAACTAAACTCTCTTTTAGCCTTAAAAAATAAATAAAAAAATCTAAATGATCTTTTATAAAAAAAAAAAAAAAGGGTTGTCACAAATACAACAGTTCTTTGTCCTTAGCTTGGGATTTTTCTTTGTTTGTTATAATTAGTAATAGAATATTTTATTAATTAAATATTTAATTATTTAAAAAAGGGGTAAAATTATATGACTGAAGCAAGTATTTTAACTTTAAATGTCAAAGTTAAAAAAATGAAGGTGTATATTATGAGAACTAAACTCCTTCAAGTTATTTATAAAAAAAAAAAGTGTTATGTCACAATAGCATTCTTTTCTTCTTTGTCCTCAGCTGTTCTCTGTGTTCAGAGATTTATGGGAATTCCTTCCAAAGGTAAAAGTGCCATGTCTATTGTCATGGCAGTTGCATGTGTGGCATCATGGTGCATTGGTGCTATATTTGGAGCAGTGCCAGTAGTCTATGACTGGATAAGGTGGGTAAAGTTAATCAGAGATACTCCAAATACTGTTTATGCATCTACATAACTTCTCACTGTACCCTGCGTCCCATGTTTCAGGTATGATCCAGCTGAAATGCTGTGTGCAGTGTTCTGGGAGAGCAGTTACTCTGACATGCTGGTTTACATCCTCTGTGCTTTCTCCATCTCCATCTTCATCCCTCTCCTCCTCATACTCTTCTGCTCCATCCTGACCTATTTAGGCTTTGGGAAAGAGTGTTCCAGGTTTGTAGAGTTGGAAGTGGTGAACACAGAGGTTTTCAGAAGGATTTTAAGGTCATTTCCTTTATCAGTTTGATCTGTTTGTATAGCCAGGATGACCTGTCCTCTATCACGCCACTACTGGTGATCGTATATCTGTTCTGCTATGCTGCGTTTGCTGTATCTGAGGTGAGAAAAGAATGGAAAAATCTTCTGTTCTGTGTGTTTTTCAATGGCCTCTCTGTCAAAGGAAGGATCAATTTGAATGTGTTTGTTCAGTCCATGATACAAGCTCATTGTTGTTTTCCTAGTTGGTTCTCCTCGGAAGGCTTGATCTGTCCCCATCTCCGAAGTGGCTGAGATCACTATCTTCAGTAATGGCATATCTGGACTGTTGTTTAAACCCATTCATCTACTGCACAAATAAAGGCTTCCGAGAAGCAGTATTCATACTGTTTTGGAAAAAATGGAGATCAACTTCCACAGAGCCGGTTCTGACTGGTATTACAACACTTGAAATATGAAGATTAGTTACAAGCAAAACAATGATAAGAAAGTTTTGATTTTTCTGTGCAACACTTTGTAATGCATCATAATATGATTTTTAATTGTAACAAATGACACCCTTTTCTATGACTAGATGTGCTGAGATCCCAATATTGCAGTGTGTTTTTGCTCGTTGTTTTAATAAGCCAAGTTAAGTCAAGAATAATGGCTGTTCATTTGTATATTGTGCATGTTATATATATATATACCCAGACAGCAACATAGTGTCGGCCCAGATCCGGGCCCACATCCGGATCAATGTGGATTCAACACGAAACAGATGTGGGCCGGATCTGGGCTGACACTATGTTGCTGTCTGGGTATTGAAATGAACTATATAGACACTTTAGGTTTCATTGGTTAACATAATAAGGCCTAAATTAGCATTAACATTACTTCTACAGCATTGATTAATCTTTGTTAATTTAATCATTAACAAATGATTAATTGAAGTTGTATTTATTAGTTAAAGCACTATTAAATAACAAACAAATAATGAACAGCTGTGTTTGTATTAACTAACGTTAACAAAGAAAGATGAACAAGTACAGTAACAAATGTTTTGCTCATGGATTGTTACAAATATATAGCCATATATATATATATATATATATATATATATATATATACTGTATATGAGAGAGAGAGAGAGAGAGAGAGAGAGAGATTTGGTTCTAAAATACTGTATTATAGAGATTCAGTCAAAACAGCCTATGATGGCTCCTGTTTGTATGTTAGGAAAAATATGCACCCTTAAAAAAAGGATAGCAAAAATTATTCAGTAGGATGAAACTAGAGGATGAAACCGGTCAAAGAATATCATCAGATCAGTGTGTATTTACAAAATCGTTGATCACATTAAAAAAAATCATTAGGCATATTTGTACAATCTTTAGCCAAGGCTGTCAGTGTGACAATGTTACTGACAAATAATACAAAATGTAGCATATGTTCATAGTCATATTATTCAATGGTAGGCTATTGTGTTCACACAGTAGCCTACGTACTAGGCCTACTTATTAAATTACACGTATGAGCATTTATGAAGCGCGTTTTTGTGCATTTTCACTAAGGCGAGTTAGAAAACAAAAACTGTAATGAAACTGCAGAATGTCGCAAACTTTGGACCAGAAATGCCCAGTAAGATTTTGAAACACCCAGTACTCTGCAAGAGAATGGTCCAGAAGCTTCAGGACCACGAAACCAGCGCAAGACAGCAATGCCAACCACAGGTAGCGCATGGACCGGGTATCCCCGTGGCTCATCTGCGCTCGGACGCTTTTGAAAACGGCGCAGGAGATGTGAAAACCCAGAGCTACCTCAAACCCTCGGTCGTGAAAGAGCGCCAGGCCATAGCTGAGGATAGAGCAAGATTCGACCATTAAAGCGTAACGAGATGACCAGCCTTCGTCAATGACATTACACCACACCAACACCCACGCAAAAATAGGTAAAGCCTAGTTCACACTACGTGATTTTAAGCCCGATTTAAGCCCGATTTGCAAATCGTTGAGTCGCCGACAAGTCAGGGTGTTATCGCGTGCAAATCGCGGGCGATTAGCGGACGATTAACGCTCGCCAATCCGTTAGTGTGAAAGAGCCAACAACGCATCAAAGACAGCTCGCAGACAGCTCGCAGACAGGTCACCGAGCTCAGAAAAATATCTAGCCTGCTAGATATCTCGAGCAGTCGCGCGACTCAATCTCAGTGATGTCATGAGTACAGCCAATCATAGCAACGCATGGGTTGAGGACACCAGGTAAATCTTACTTTTTCTTTTTTGCATTTTTTTTTCTCAGAGCAGATCGTCGAGCAAACAGTGTGCAGCTCTAGTTTCTGTCTGACGTCCATATTCGCGTGTTGTGTTCTTCTCTGTAGTTTCGCGTCATTTCTGGTTCGTTTTATTGCGTGGTTTTTCGTTCAAAACATGGTTTCTAGACCAGATAGAATCGTGTTGTTGTCAACTCGTTATTTGTTTGATTATTTTCAGGATTTAGACCGTACTATAGTACTGAAACAGCTCTCATTGAGTCACAAATGATATGCTCTTATCATCCGATCGTGGTTGTATCTCTATGTAGTGCGTTGTTAACTCGTGTAGTGAGTTACCTCCTGTTGTGGATCAATCACGTTGTGTTGTGTGGTGTGAACAGCTAAACAACTTGAACACTCATGATTTCACTGAGAGCAAGTCATGTAATGTGAACTGCACAGTTCAGCCCAACATTTTAAAATCATGTAGTGTGAACTAGGCTTAAAGTGAACCACTGGTCCAAAACAGAGGGCGCGCGCCGCAAGGTGGCCAAGCGGACCCACTGCACCGGTCCATATGCGACTGCCATGAGGGCAAACACGTCTTTGGTGTAAGCGGCTCCACTGCTGTTTTTACCGTCTGACATCCGTTGCAAGATCCAATAGATTCCCAATAATATGTATCCTGAGTTTATCAGACAGTTAAACGGCATGGCCAAGAAGGCAGGGAGATCGTCAACTTTCTTCTCCGCATAGTGGTCATAAGTGATATCCACCAAAACTTTGTCGAAAATGTGAGTGTTTGCAAGCGCTATGCAAAGCAGGAAGGGCACGAGAACGTGGACGACCGCTAACATCGTAATTTTTAAAAAGAAATACAATTCCGTTTGAAGAGACAGCAAGAACACATGTGGGAGATTGTGTACAAAGTGCAAAACAGTGGTTGTTTGTTTTCCGCAATCTATATCACGTGATGACCACTGTAGGCTTTCATTGGTTGCCACAGTTGGACCTCGGAACTCTCCGAATTTTAGCAGACAACCATTCTACTATTTTTTCATGTAGGCATAGACATAATTAGGGCCCAAGCCCTGAAAGGGCGAAGGCCCTATTGTTTTCCTTGGGATTATTATTCTTTAGTATTATTATTATTTTGCTACCTTTTGGGCACTTTTGGGGCCCTTAACGTGCTCGAAAACTCTTGAAACTTTGCACACGGGTCAGAACCCGCGGCCATCAGAGCCGGGCTGAAGATGGTACCCGGGCGTGGCAGGGCAGCTCGTCAGCGCCCCCTGGAACGGGGTCCGAACACTTGGTCCATAACTCAAACACGCTTGTATGTAATAATATGAAACTCGGTACACACGTTGATCTCATCGTTTCATCTATACCTCGCGCTCTTACTTTTTACCCCAGCCCAACAGGAATTTGGCTATTGAGGTTTGTTTGTAAAACGCTCGCAATGGAATGTCAAATACTCCTCCTAGAGCTTTGATCCACATTCGACGAAACTCGGTCAGCGTGAAGTCAAGACATTGAGGATGAAAGTTTGCGAGGGGATTTTTTATATCTCGAACGGTTTGTCCGTGGCGAGGAAACGAAATCATGGCGAGAAACGTGAAACAGGAAGTGTGTTATAACTTCAGCATACATTAACTGATCTTGATGAAACTTCAGCAGTGTGTTCGCTGTAAGAGGACGATCACATGGATGTGACTATTGTGAGTCAAAGTTATAGCGCCACCAACTGGCAGCAGGAAGTGTGTCGCTTTCAAAATGCTTAGATATCACCCTTTTATTTTTACCCGATTTGCTTCAAACTTCATATGTATAATGTAAACATACGGCAGATGTAGACCTGTGAATGGATTCTTGATATCTTTGAAACTGTTGCCGTGGCGACGCATCAAACTTTACCCTTCTTTTAGGATGCTTTTAGGATGCTTTTGAGACCCTTAGCATGCTTCAAATTGCATGAAACTCGACAGACACATCACATTTATTAGCCAGTAGACATGTGCAAAGTTGCAGAAACGGGCGTGGTGAGGGCTCAGTAGCGCCACCTTTTGACAAAAGTGGGGTGGTTAGTTTTAACTAGAGTTACAAAAATTGGTATGTATATTGTACTCCTCGAGCCGGACAACTTTCTAATTGACACTTATTAGCTAGGACCCACAGAAACTCAGATATTTTTGTTTGAATATGGCCACTCTGAGCCTTTGGCTGGCTGGCTGGCTGGCTGTCTGTGTGTGTGTGTGTGTGTGTGTGTGCAGGGGGAGGGGGCTTAACCATTTCACTGCTGTGTGTATGACCTGCATAAAGAAAATACATTTCTCAAGCCTGGTATTTTTAAATAAGTTTTTATTTTTATTTTTTATAAGTAAAGGCATATAACTAGTTTAATTGTAGTGAATTGACAATAGTTTTATATAATTAGTTTATTAATCAGATTAACTTGGTCAATAAACTTGGTCTGAAAATTTGGTCCATAAATCAAACACACTTGCATGTAATAATATGAAACTTGGTACACATATAGATCTCATCGTTTCATATATACTTCACACTCTTACTTTTTACCCCAGCCCAACAGGAAGTTGGCTATTTAGGGTTGTGTTTAAAACACATGCAATGTAATTTAAATTATTGCTCCTAGAGCACTGAACCAAATTCGACGAAACTCGATCAGCGTGAAGTCAAGACATTAAGGATGAAAAAGTGCCACGGGATTTTTGATATCTCGAACGGTTTGGCCGTGGCGAGGAAACGAAATTATGGCGAGAAACATGGAACAGGATGTGTGTTATAACTTCAGCATACATTAACTGATCTTGATGAAACTTCAGCAGTGTTTTCGCTGTAAGAGACCGATCACATGGATGTGACTATTGTGAGTCAAAGTTATAGCGCCACCAACTGGCAGCAGGAAGTGTGTCACTTTCAAAATGCCGTGGCAACGAAACAAACTTTAACATTATTTTTTGATGCTTTTGGGACTCTTAGCTTGCTTGAAATTGCTTGAAACTCAACAGATACATCACATTTATTAGCCAATAGACATGTGCAACTATGGCAAAAGATTAAAGTAATGTCAAAAAAGTAAACACTAAAAGCCTCATATCTTCTAAAAATGTAATTATACATCATTTGTTTCTAAATTAAATTATACAAATATTATAACTTCCCCAATTTTTCCTTTTTTTTCATTTAAGAATTGTGTTTACGTTCAAAAACAGCCAGAATTGTTGTAAAATTCATAAAAAATAATAATCTGAGTCATACGTAGTGCTATACTGCCCTCTTGTGTTCAATATCAGGTAGGCCTATTGTGTATATTCCCACCGGTTAATCAACGTGTGACTCCGCTGGGACTTGGGAGCTTTTAAATCGCTTACTTAAAACCGAAAGTCAAAATACGGATGTCCGCACAAGACATTAATGGTGTGGAGTAGAGCGAGCATTTTAAATAAATTCCTATTAAGTAGGATTGAACTAAACAGAAAGAATGTTCACTCTGTTCTGCTGGTTCCTCGCTGGTGGATCATATGATTACTTTGTCATAATCTATGACAAAAATGCTATTATAAACCATATTAATAATAGATAATACACATTGCTCTTATTTTTGAAAAATACATTCATGAAAAACAAGATAACAAAAATCATTAAAAAAAAATATAGCCATGGCTGCTATAAAGCAACATATAATTGAAAGGCAATTAATAATCTGTCATTACGTCACTGCATTATGATATTACGGCTCCAATACGGTGCAGCACAAAGCACTTATGTGCATCCCGAGCGGAGAATGATGTGCTTGAAGCCACATGAAGTTACAGCGCATTGAGTCCGTATTGAAAAGTTCAAAGCACAAAGGAAATACATATTTATGAACAGTGTATTATACATTATCTATCTATGCAATAGTTTATTGAGCCTTTTCTTTTAAAGGTTTTAAATTTCAGTTACTGTGTGCGTGAAGAACAATTATAGTGCTCTGACTCTAGTGTTGTGATCTAACCGACAGCGTCCGACACCCGGTAGAAAGTAACACGATTAAGTTACAGCAATAAAGTCCAGCAAGAAAAAGTTTCTTCATTCGAAAATATAGACCTTTAGACCTTTATCTTAAAGATCCAGTATAATAGGATTAACATTGAATCATTGAAGATCGTTTCATCATTGACTGTAACCGAATGTGACGTGCTGTTTGAATGCTGAATGGAGAATGACTGACAGGCGCAGAGAGGGAAAAGTTTGTGTTCTTGAATTTAATGACTTAAATATTAATTTCTATATCACATAATAGCTTCAGAACACTAATAATACAGTACACAAAAACTTTATGGTACTTTAGAAAGTTTTTGTGCCTTTGTGCCTTACATAGAATAGTATATGCACAATATAGAATTTGAATCAGCCTCGTCAAAGATGGCAGTGTCAGAGCCGATACCGATCCTGAGTATCTAATCGGCGCACTTCTTTTCAACAGTCAAATTGAAATTGAAATTGCTTGAAACTCAACAGATACATCACATTTATTAGCCAGTAGACGTGCAAAGTTTCAGAAACGGGCAATGTGCAAGGACTAAATAGCGCCACCTTTTGACAAAAGTGGGGTTGTTAGTTTTATCTACAGTTACAAAAATCGGTATATACATTGTACTCCTCAAGCCGGACAACTTTCTAATACATAGTCATTAGCTCGGACCAAGAGGAAGTCAGATATTTTGGTTTGAATATGGTGAGCCTCTCTCTGAGCCTACGTCCCTGTATGGCAAGCCCTTTTAACATTTAAAAGCTAAGTTTGCCTGTCCGGAATTAACATTGTAGATATCAACAACGTCTTTCTGTCTATTCGTAATTACATTTTGGATAGTTTGTATTATCATTTAAGACATCTGTAACATAATTGTGACTAGTCGAAATGACAGAGTATGGCAAGCCGTTTTAACATTTAATCATAAAAGGGCCAAAGCCTTCGGCACCGCTACCCGGGTGCCTTTAGGTAACTAAAGGAACCGGGGTTGCGGTGCCACCGGCTTGGGCCCGCCATCGCTGCTCGCAGCTATATTAAATGTATTTATTATGTCTATGGGATATTATTTGTACACTGTACAGTATGCACATTTTCTATATGGAATAGCCTGATGAGCCTGACTTATAGGCTTACTGCATTTGCCAAAATATGCAGCCAAGAACACTGTATATTCCAGTATATTCCAAAATTACATATTAACTTTCTTTCTTTCTGTCTGTCTGTCTGTCTTTCTTTTCTTTCTTTTCTTTCTTTCTTTCTTTATTTCTTTCTTTCTTTCTTTCTTTCTTTCTTTCTTTCTTTCTTTCTTTCTTTCTTTCTTTCTTTCTTTCTTTCTTTCTTTCTTTCTTTCTGTCTGTCTTTCTTTCTTTCTTTCTTTCTTTCTTTCTCTCTCTCTCTCTCTCTTTCTTCTTTCTTTCTTTCTCTACAGATACCCTACAAGACATCACTATTTACTGTAAACATAATAGTATAGGCTACATCCTCCACTGAGCTACCGGTTTTCTTGGCGAAAAGTTTGGATGATATAATTCACTAATTTGGCAGCCTCTGCCATAGTAAGACCTCGGTACACCACATGATCAATAATGATGGCCCGAACTTCATTAGAGACAACAGTTCTGCCCCCGTCTCTCTGATGACCAACCGTTTGAAAGGCCCCATGCCCACCTCTCTGACAGATCCCTTGTCCATGAGTTTTTTTCTATTCCTTGCTGTCTATCCTGCTCCATTTTGAAAGAAATTGCCAGTGTTTACAGCACCCCCACTTTTACATAGTTTGTGCTTACCGCTATGTGAAATCAATAGCAATAACGAGTATTCATGTGTGGTTAAACATAATTTATATGTTCGCACAAACACACATTTTATGTCTGTAGTTCTCAAAATCCATACACTGTATATTGCTGGAATAACCAAATGGTTCAGTGATTAACCATTAAGATCATTTGGATTAAGTGTTGGTCAAATATATTTAACCAAATCAGATGAGAGGCATATCAAAAGTATTGTGAGCATTGCATTGTGAAAGACAATTACTTCATAGGTATTTATTTGATGACACACTGATTAGGTGTGGTGAAAAAGTCAAGTGAATGTGTACATGTGTGCGTTGTATACTTGTGATTACATGTTTGAAAAAAACAGACTTTTTTGATGATCTGCTTTGAGTCTTGTACTAACAGTTGTGAGGTTTTACCACATACTTGCGATAATAGTACCAAAGCGAATTAAAAAAAAACTGTAATATTGACAAACTCATAAATATCTTAATGGAGTTGAAATGTACAAAAATACTAAATATTTCTTTAAAAGCTTATAAATCATGACAAAAGTCATGAGAACTTTGAATATTGTTGTGGATGGGGGACCTTGGTGTCAAAAAGGTTGAGAACCACTGCAATTTACTGCAATGCGTTTTCACTGGTGTTGGTGTGTGAGCACATACTGTATGTGTGGAAGTCATGAATTAGGGACATAATTTACAATCAACTACGTTGTTCAAAATGAAGTCCCGGAAGGACTTTCCTGTTTGTCAAGTTTGTCTGACCAAAGTGCTTCCTAGCAAGATCCTCCTCCAAAGACAGAAAGATTTTTTAACATTTCCAGTCAAGATTTTTTTCTTGAAAAATTCTTTAAATGTTTCCTGCTTACATGTAGTCCAGTAAAGACTAGATATATGTTTGATTATGAAAAATAACATCAAGACACACTCTTAATATTTTAATCTTAATATTTTACAGTTTCCTTCCTCCACGTGTTACATTTGCACATTTGAAATATATAATATGTTTCATAGTAAAAAAAAAAACACAAAAAAACATTTGACAATTTAGTCTCAATAGTATTGTAAACTGCACATTTTGAAATATAAATGATCTACAATCAAAATAAAAACATTTAGCCTAACATTTAATGCAAAAATACATTCATGAATAACATTGGACAATTTAACACTAGGATATGATTGTGTGATGTTTAGAAAACAGGTTTTGGCAGTACAGAAATGCTAGACTATAAAAGGAAGTTAAAAGACAGAGAGAAAACAGTGACTCAGAGGGAAGCACGAGACAAGGTGCTCCACACAGGTTGCACAACTGTTTTGTAAGAGCTATAGACTCTGGATTAAAGAAAAGAGAAAATATGTTTTAACACACTTCAAAATTATTAAGCAATGCAGGATATATGAAGGATAACCGAATATGAGAGACCATGGAGGAATCAACAGCAAAGGTAGGAAAAGATTGTTAAAGACAAGATAAGATTTGCAAAAACACATTTAAAGGGTAACTAAACACCAAAACAACTTTTTTTAGTTAATGATCTGTAAGAATGGAGCTTCATAAATGCTGTTCATTGATTCAAGTACATTTTTTGACAATTGAGTATAAAGTGTTTTGATTTTCAAATCTTCAGGTTAAACGGAAAGCTCCTGCAGTAGGGGTACTTTCTGACGTAGGGAACTCTCAAACGCCACTCTGTCACGCCCTTGGTGCGAGCTCACCACGCCATTGGCGGACCCTGGTATAAAAGCATCTGGTTCCGTCAAAACTACTGTAGCGAGTCAGGAGTTGGATTTATGAGTATTGAAAACGATCAGGATAGCATAGCCTATATTAGCATCTAGTTAGCATAGCATTTATATAGTTATTTAGATTATTTTTGAAAACGATCAGGATAGAGTATTGTTGCATCTATTTAGCATAGCATTATATAGATAATTTAGATTATTTTGTGTAGCTAGTAGCATAGTACAGTTAGGATAGCTTCAAGTTAGCATAGATTTATCAGTGTTTAGTACAGTGGTCAGGATAGTAACGGAATAGAGGTGGACATGGGCTTCTCCACACGCAGTGTCAAACACTGCTCGTCCTGCATGGACTCCTCCACCGCACTGCGTCTTGATGTGAGTGATCATGGATATTTTAATCACAATTTATGGTTAGGATAAAGTTAATCCTCTGGGGTCGACAAACGAGCCGGCGCATTTTGCTGGATTTTTTCACATAGCAGCAGAATATCAATATGAATATATGCCCACAGAGCGCGCGCTATTGAGATCAACTCAACGACAAAACTAATCAGATGCCGGTCGCGATGCGGGAGTTAAGACCGCAGTTTGAGCCAGCGTCTCGAATGGATTTGGCCCTGTGTCTACATACAATTCACCCTCATCCACTTCAGGTGAGGGAGAAAAGTCCTCGACTTCAAATGGCCGCTCTGTTGCAAAGGCAGCTACTTGAGTCACTCCAGTCTCTCTCTATTTTAGAGTCTGACAGCAGCTGTCACTCACGGCGGGTCTCAGGTGCACGCCCCCTGGCCCCGCTGGGGTCTGCCCATTTTTTCAGCATTTTTCAAATATTGCTAGTGGGTGGAGTCAGGCTCTAACCAGGGGTTTAGTTACCCTTTAAGTTCTTAAAGAGCGTAAAAAGATCACATGATGTAAGGTTTGTATAATATATAAGAGTAAATATGCTCTGTCGCTATTGTACAATCTTATACTTGTAAACAAATAGTGCTTCAAAGGGTAAAAGGTCATTAGTGCATTACATAACATAAAATCATTAGTTTTCTTTTTTCATGCAGAGTGATGTGAGGGATGGTCATCAGAATAACATCCCATTGCTGCAGTCCATGCTTCTGAAACTTAGTCCAAAAAATCATGTTGACCATCCAAATAGAAGGACTTCAGATGCATATCCGGATACAACCTCTCAAAGTGTGTTTTACCTATCTCTGGAATCTGAAGAACGTATAACAAATGAAGACAGGAATGATTTGGATACCACAGTCAGATCAGATGGTGATGAGAAACAACCAACAAGTAGTTCTAAAACAGAAGATGGAAATGGACGGGTTGAAGAGTTCAGAGGGCCTCCAGATGAGTTTCATGAATTTGAGAGAAAGAATTTTCCTCCTTTATCCATGCAAACACAGGCAGCAGAATCAAGTCAGGGGCCAAAAGAAGGTGAATTGTTGGAGGACAACATCAAAAAGAAAGAACCAAGCGTGGAGGAGGACATGGCTGGAGCTGAATCACTCCTTAACAATCCGTCTCAACAATCATCTGCATACATGTCTCTCTTCTCGATGTCCTCAGAGAGATGTGACACTGCACAAACGGAGTTTAAGCATGAACAACTAGATGAGGCTTGTGGTGGTCCCTCAAAAGCAGTTGGTTTGGACACAAGCAGTGTTCTAACCTATCAAACTGCTGTGAACGTTACAAGCAGGACAACAAGATCCGCTTCAGATCCAGTAACCCAGAAGCGTAGGGAGGAGAGAACCCTCTCAGCTCCAAGTATGTCAAACCTCCAGGAATATGAAAACATGACAGATACAATGAAAAGGTTCAGCAAAGCTGCTACGATTTTGGAACAGGACAACTCACTTGTCAAAATGCAAAAGAAGGGAGTGAAAAACAAGATGAAGAATCTTACTCATAAATTGATGGACATGTTGAAAGAAAAACACGATAGTGAGCACGCCGACAACAAGAGCATTCAAGACAGCGGGGAAGAGGAGGCACAATGTGTATGTTTACTTTATCATACTTCTATTCTCAAAGTATTCTTAAAGTATGACAGATCTTTAATTTCAATGAATGTTGGAACTGACAACTAAATTTTTTGTTAGCTGCGTTTTAACTATTTAACTCTTCCCTCTGCTCTTTTTTCAAACTTAAATCACATGAATCACCATGCAGCTAAATTCCATGGAGGTTGATGTTCCACCACCACTTCCACCAAAAAATGGGAAATATGTTTTCTTAAACAGGTGGGATATGCTTAACATATTTACCAGTCTTATTTTTAACAGTGTAATTGTTTATATACTATTATTGTATTTATTTATATTTTGTGAATTTATTTTCAGTTTTATTGATATCTTAATTTTAATTTTAATCTTAATTTTTTTTTTATCTTAAAGGGATAGTTTACCCAAAAATAAAAATTCTGTTATTAATTACTCATGTCGTTCCAAAGCCATAAGACTTTCGGTCATCTTCGGAACACAAATGAACATCTTTTTGATTAAATCGGAGAGATTTCTGTACTCTCTATTGACAGCCTATGCAACAACCACTTTGATGAGACTCAGTCGCTTTATACGATGAACAGGTTTTATTTAGGCTTTTCTTAAATAAATGTTGTTCAGTGACCATAAACAGAAGCTCAACCGAAACTGCTTGACATGCAAGAACAAATCTCACTGGTTCTTACGGAAGCTCAAACGTGCTGCGTAACACGTGAGTGAACCTCATTGGTTCTTACAAAAGCTCAAACGTGCTGCGTAACACGAGAATGAACATGCTTGAGCTTCTGTTACTAGCTCTGATGAGTGAGTTGATGAATGTTTATATACGAATAAAAGCCTAAATTCAATCTGTTCTTCACAAAGTAATTGTCTTTTCTGAATATTTGGACTAAGCCCCTCAATTCATATGGATTATTTTTAGGATCTCTTTGTGAACATTTGAAGTGTTAAAGTATCAGTTGTGTAGCTGTCAACGGAGGGACAGAAATCTCTCAGATTTAATCAAAAAAATCTTCATTTGTGTTCCAAAAGTGAACGAAAGTCTCACGGGTTTGGGACGGCATAAGGGTAAATAATGACAGAATTTTCATTTTTGGGTGAACCATTTAAATGATTCATGAGGGAACGATGTACATGATTAAATTTTGTAAATGCAACACACATGTTTTCAGTGCAAGGGTCTCAATCTCAGTTCGGGCCACTGTCCTGCCGTGAGCCTGAACCCAAATTAAACAAACCTGAACCAAGAAAATAAGGACTTCAGGATTACTAAAAACGTCCAGGTATTTTGAAGCTAAATTCTGCATGACAATGGCCCTCCAGAAGCTGAGTTTGACACATTTGATATAGACCAGGGGTTCTCAACTAGTTTCTAACCCTGAAAACCTTGATTAGCTTGGTCAGGTGTTTTTAATTACAGTTTAACTTAAATGTGCGTTCAGGCCATGTCATAATTACTTCAATTACATTATTTCGATTTGTAAAAGGTGTTCATCATGTCCTCATAGAGCTCATAATTACCAGATGGGAATTGTTTGAGAGCTCCCTCTTATATCACGTGACCCCTGCACTTTAATTTAGGCATTAATAGTGGTGCCATAGAAACGCATAATTCCCAGTCTAGAATAACATTTCATGTTGTCATTTTAATAAGGTAATTATGATATGGTGTGAATGCTGCATAAACTCTGAAAGAAAGTGGACTTCAAGGGCCAGAGTTGAGAAATCAACTTGTTTAAATGTTATATGCACATTCCTTTTATTTTTTGTCAATTGAAACTCTTTTTTTTTCTTGTCTTTTTTGTTTAAAGCACTTCCTTATTAGTATATTGAAGTCCGCTTATTTATAACTCATTTCTAGTTCTGTGACATTCCTTTTATGTGAAGTGATGGAACAAATTAAACACAAACATGTATGGTGTAGGCTACTAATACTACAGATCTGCTACGGCTGCCCCTTAAAAACTGCTGAATGACTAAATCCACATAAACAAAACCTCCTAAACATGAAAAACCTTTTAAAGTGTACAGCAGGGAAAAAATCTGTTAACGGATAAATGGTGGAAATACATAGCCTCTGGTAATATCTCAAGTTCATTCAAGCACACTAAGTCCATTGTTAATTAAAATCACTGTATCATATTTTGAGGGAACAACAAATGGTGACACTTTATTTCGATAGTGCACTTAAGACCAATGTTTCCCAACCCTGTTCCCAGAGGCACACCAAGGGCACATCTCAATCACCTCCCTAGTTCAGTATAGTCAAGGAACTGTTGAGAGAGCCCAAAAATGAAAATTTTGTCACTCACCCTCATATCGTTCCAAGCCTGTAAGACCTCTGTTCATCTTCTTCGGAACACAGTTTAAGATATTTTAGATTTAGTCTGAGAGTTTTCTGTCCCTCTTTTAAAAATGTATGTACGATATACAGTCCTTGTCCAGAAAGAAATACAGACATCATCAAAGTAGTCCATGTGACATCTGTGGGTTAGTTAGAATGTTTTGAAGCATCGAAAATACATTTTGGTCCAAAAATAACAAAAACCACGAGTTTATTAAACATTGTATTCTCTTCTAGTTCTGCGTTCTAGAACACATTAGCAGCGTCTACTTCACACCGGAAGACAATACAATGTTTAATAAAGTCATACTTTTTGTTATTTTTGGAGCAAAATGTATTTCCGATGCTTCAAAACATTCTAACCTTCTAAAACATCCCCAAAATGTTTATTTTTGGGTGAACTAACCCTTTAATGCTGTCTGTCTCAATAGCAAATTTCTTCACTGTAAAAAATATTTTCAAGATTTGTTATCACAGCATATTTTCTTTTGTCAAATCAACTTTATAATCATTTATTTAGTTCAGATAACTTATTATTTTGAGTTTCTGATGGTTAAATTAATCTACTTCATTGTATTAACTCACTTTTTCCAGTTCAATCAACTTAAAATTTTAAGTCAACCAGGTTACTTACTTTTTTAAGTTAAACCAACAATATTTTTTTTACAGTGTAGTACATCAAAATGTTTAACACAGTCTCATCCCAAGAAGTCATATAACTGACGTCTTGGGACGTCTTTTGACCATACGTCAACATCCGCCTTTTTAGGCTACCCTTAAACGTCGGTTACATGATCCCGGGTCATCATACAACTGACGCTTTACCTTTAACGTCGGTTAGGTGACAGGGTATAGGTTTAGGTCTGGGGTAGGGTTAGGATCCGATAACGTCATCTAACCGACGTTTAAGGGTACCCTAAAAAGGCGGATGTTGACGTATGGTCAAAAGACGTCCCAAGACGTCATTTATATGACGTCTTGGGATGAGACTGCGCTGAAATGTTCACTCCCTTAAAACTCCCAAAATGGTGAAAACCAGGGAGCATCGATGCTCACTATGTTCCCTTAATGGAAATGAACTTTTCTAACTTAACTTTGTAAGTGACTATACTTTGCAAGTACATGTCAACTTATTCTACTAACCTTCACCCTAACCCTTATGTAAAAGTCTACTAATACCAAGTTACAAATGAATGTGAGTTAGTTGACATGTAGTTTAAAAGTTACTTAGTATACAGAATTTCTAATGTGGACTATCAAAATAAAGTGTAACCCAACAAAGGTTTGAATCTATGGGAACACTTTACAATGAGGTCCCAGTAGTTTAAGCATTAACTAACATGCAATGAACAATATATTTGTTGCATTAATCGTTGTTTTGTTAAACTTTAGTTGCTAATATATCTTTTCTTTCTGAGCAGAACATTTACCTTAAAGGACTTCAAACTCAATCTTGAACCGATCAACTTAATGGATGAGATATTCACAGGAGAAGAATGGCTCAGTTACCTGCCCAGCAAATCCAGTCCAGCAGAGAAAGACACTAGTGATCAACCAATGACCAATGATGTTCTCCAAACAGAAAAAGAGACCCAACTCAATATTCCACAGCAGGACCAATCAGAGGACATAAAGAACAGTCAGGATGATGTTAGTGATGTTCAACTGGACAATGTTGCAAAAGTAAACAGTGACTTGCATTTAAGGCAGGATGCAAATACTTTTGCTATTCCTAAGGCACTGCTAACAACTAATGCAATAAAACTAATGGCACCTGGGATAGACTGCAAGTCAAAGAAATCAGATGATATCTATGACTGTTTGCACATGTATATTATACCCAAAAATGATGTACCATTAATGAATAGAAGATGCTCATCGGATGCTCCGCCGATGGACTTTTCAGCAGTCAAGGTGGGGAATACTTCTGTATTTTTGTTGTTGAAGTTACTATAGGTTATGTTAAAGGAGTAGTTCACTTTTAAAAAAAACTTTTCCTGATAATTTGCTCACCCCCATGTCATCCAAGATGTCCACGTCTTTCTTTCTTCAGTCGAAAAGAAGGTTAGTTTTTTGATGAAAACATTCCAGAATTTTCTCCATATAATGGACTTAATTGGGAACCAAACACTTCAAGGTCCAAATGAGAGTTTCAGTGCAGCTTCAAAGGGCTTTAAACGACACCAGACAATGAATAAGGGTCTTATCTAGGACCCTTCGAGTCATGACTCGGAAAAAGATTTGTTAATTTTGATGAACGAATTTGAACAGGAGAGTCACGAACGCTCATCACAGAACAGAGCAAGTCGAGCATTTGTGCTTATAAAACTTAAACTTTTTTTATCTATTTATTAAATTAATAATCGTTTCGCTTGATGAGACCCTTATTCATCGTCTGGTGTTGTTTTAAGCCCTTTGAAGCTGCACTGAAACTCTGATTTGGACCTTGAACCGTTTGGTTCCCAATGAAGTCCATTATATGGAGAAAAATCCTGGATTGTTTTCATCAAAAAACTTAATTTCTTTTCAAATGAAGAAAGAAAGACATGGACATCTTGGATGACATGGGGGTGAGTAAATTATCAGCAAAAGTTTTTTTTTTAAAGTGAACTACTCCTTTCAATTAATATGTGAGAGAGTCTTAATTATTTTAACTTGATTTTAACTGTAACTTGATAATGTGTACGATTTTTTTCTCTCTTAGTCATTTGAATTGCTGGACAACTCTGCTCTCAAAAGTCGAATTCGTCTCAGCAAAAAGAGACCCCACAAACCACCCATAAAAGGTGAGAAAACGCTCTGGGGGGTTGGGTGGAGTGAATGTACTAAATGAGAAAAATTAACATGTGCAAACCTCTGACAGATTTGTTGCTCTCGTTTTTTTTTTCTCTCAGTAAAAAAAGAAAAGTCAAACGCCAAATTCTACGAGATTCCTGAAAACATCCTGAGTGAATCGCCTGTCCGTGCATCTTTACCATTTAACAGCATCCCCTTTTCCAAGTCTCCTCCTCATCATTCACCACTATTTCCAGATCACACCTGACCAGTCACTCCATGACTGCTCTATCATCTGCAGTTGTTAGGTCAATAAAATCATATACAGTAGACAATAATCTATAAAAAGCACAAAGAAAGAACGGTCATTTTGTACTAAAACCATTACATTATTTAATCAAGTAATGTGATCATTGTATTAATGTTATTTCTGATTATCTACTTTCTCAGCAGATTAAAGGATACAAGTGACTGTAAAGACTGGAAAATTCAAAACTGAGGTCAAAGGATGTTTATTGTTGGAAAAAAGTGTTTTTTGCTGAAAAACAACTGAAATGACAATGAGCTTGGATTACACTAATTTAAGATGTTACAGTGGATAATGGTGATCGCGTCCTATACTATTTGCTAGGACCTTTTTTATGCACCCTAACAATTCTTTTCATAACAAATGTCATAAATATGATGATTTATCATGTTAGGCAAAATGGAATTTTGTGTTATTGAAGTTAATAATACACCTGTTCATTCATAACTACTGATGAACTGTAAATAGTAAATAGGCTTTTTCCATATTATAATGTGATTTATTATGTGAAATATCATGTCATTTTAGATTTTGTGTGTGTGTCCTTTGCTTGCTTTTCGATTTTGCTCAGGAACTGTAAATCAACAAGCTATTAATTGTTAATTAATTGTTTTTTCCCATCCATCCCTTTCCCTTTTATTCTACTTCCTGAATTCAGTTTTATGCTTTATGTAAGAATTTTGTGAGAAACCTATATAATGAAATTCTGCAGTATTTAAAACCTGGCTAAAAGTGATGACTTTGAAGTATTCAAATTTGTGGTTCTTAATCAGACAAACACTAAATAAATAAAATCAAGTGCTTGTTATGATTGCAAAAGTTTTTTATTATCATTTTAAGAAAACCGTTTAATGGGATGATACTCAGATAAAACTGCTCCAACTACTCCTGGTCTACTTTCAGTAGCCTATGCCTTGTCTTTGAAGGCGCAGTTTTTCTTGACACTATACACAAGTCGTCGTTCCACCAACCTCTAAAAATGTGAGGGAAAGTGAAATACTTGTGTTTTACCAAACATATCACTATAATTTAACAGCGCAGTCTCATCCCAAGACGTCACATAGCTAACTGACGTCTTGGGACGTCTTTTGACCAAAGGTCAACATCCGCCTTTTTAGGGTACACTTTAAACGTCGGTTAGATGACGTTATCGGATCCTAACCCTACCCCAGACCTAAACCTACCCCTAAACCTAACCGACGTTAAAGGTAAAGCGTCAGTTGTATGACGGCCCGGGATCGTCATATAACCGACGTTTAAGGGTACCCTAAAAAGACAGATGTTGACGTATGGTCAAAAGACGTCCCAAGATGTCAGTTATATGACTTCTTGGGATGAGACTGTGTTACATTTAACCAAACATCAAGTTAAAATTAACCAATGTCAGATAAAATGACAGATTTTGTTGTACATTTTGATAAATTTTGTGGGCTAAGTGTGGATGAGTGGTGGAATTTCAGCTCACCAAAACCACTACAATTATGATCTCAAGAAACAAAATAAGTTTCTTGGCCCCTTCTAGTGGCTGATGAGAGAACTGGGATAATGCCATAGTGCACTTATGACAATACTTTTAAAAGATAAAGGTAGGCTATTGGGACAAGAAAATAGTGGTGCAGGCAGGGGTAACCCGGAAGACTTGTGATTGTTCTATGGGGTTTTATAATTTAGTTTTTTTTTCTTCAATTTATGATTAAAATAAGGTCCGTGCTAAACATAACTGTATTATATGCAAACATAAACATACAACACACACCCATATCAAAAACATGAATTTTGAAGCATATTTTTTATCAAAAACAAAACCAAAAAAAGTTTGGGGTGTTAGTGTGCTGTTAAAATTGTTAAGTTCACCACAAAAGTTAAGTTTACCACAGACCTTATTTTACTAATAAATTGAAAAAAAAAAACATTATAAAGTGGCAAATTTGTCTTCAGGGTTTTGACATCATCCCTATACACCAATGAATATGTACCCCAACTATGTATATGAAGACAATATCCACTGGTAGAGTCCATGCAATGCAATTTAAAAACTCGAAAACTCATTTATATAATAAAACAAATTTTTATTCATTTTTAAAAATATGTCGTTTTCACAATTTTGAACGCAAAGTTTTAAGGTTAATTGACAGATAAAACAGTTCAGTCTAAGCCTACTGCAAGTCTAAGTCAAAGCTGTCATGACTTTGAAGGCGCATACGTAGTTTTTTCGCACATAACAAGAATCGTCATTCCACTTGCCAACATCTAAAAGAAAGCAGAATAAGATCAAACCAACATAGAATGTGAGAATAAAATAATCATGATAGATTATAGGTAACATGTTATACCAATCATGCAATTTATGTGATTTTACCAATAACTAACAATTATTGGGACAGTTTCTGTAACTATAAGTAAAGTCAACTAGCCTACATGATACTGTATATGAAGAGTTTCACAGGTGAATTTTAGGCAAATTTAAAATTGCATATTTTAAAAAAGAAACCCCTTTACTTACGATTCCAGTTCATTTCCACACAGTCCTCCCTGTTGCTGAATCTGTGCTTGGGCTCACCGGGTGTCCAGATTTGATAGTTCCAAAAGGAACCGTCGGTCCAGACAAATCTACCAGACTGAGAAAGATCAAACATTTTAGGCTAAAGTTTATAGGCAAATTCTATAATTAGTCTCATTTACCTGAAACAACTCAAAGCCTCCGATCCAGATGCGCAGGTTTTGTGGACTGTATTTGATCACAATGCAGAGCACGTCAGCATTAGCCTTTGTGTTGTGCATTGACACCAGGTGTCCACCAGGGGCTTTGCTTCTGCAGCTGAACTGTGTGCGGGAAAAGAGCAACAGCATCAATAAAAAAAACATCTTAACAGAAAATGAAGAAAGAATAATTAGTTACTTTTTGTTGTCTTTTTTGTCCCACACTGACACTACTTACCTCAGCTGCAGTGAAGTTGAGAGGATTCCCAAAGTATTTGACACAGCGTGACCCCACTCTGAACCAACTCTCATAGCCAGTCATTGGACAGGCTTTAGGCAAAATACAGCCTAATGAGGAAATACGGCCAGCAGCCTCATCTAAATGTGAACATCACACCAAAATTTACCCTTAGCGGTTAAAAACTTTCTTTTAAAATACTCTGATAACATATTAAATAAATTAAATAGCCTAATCAGCACCTCTCTGCATGGTTAAGAAGCTACCACTTCCAAAAAGGAAAGTCATCAACAAAAAGCTAAACATCTCCATTCCTGATGCACACTGTGAAGGAGAGAACATGATTGATGAAGCTTACAATATTGTTTTATAGAATAGTAATTTAAAAGAAAAATCCATATTTTTCCTTTTTTTTTTTAATAATTTTAAAATAATGCATGGTTACCAAATGGTAGTAAAATGGACTTACCACTCCTTCCACTTGTCTTCCGTATCTCCTCATAACATTTAGTCTGTCTTAAATCCACCACTTTTTTTTTCACAACTCCTCCCTTTCTCTTACTCAGCATGTACTGTGTCTATATGGAGTTCCACATAAAAGCTCATAGCATGAGTTTTGCTGAATTTAAAAAAATAAATACATAAAATGTAAATGATTTATCAACATGAAATCAAAATTGACACTTTCTTCTATACTGAATATTGCAGTATTTACTATAATGATTTTTCTGTGTATATAACTTTCCCTCCCTCTTGCAATGACATCTCTTCTCAGATGATTTTACTTTAGTTTACTGTCACAAGGGCGGTACAACCTGTCATTCACATGACAGCAATAGAAAACCCCAACCATCCAAACATCCAACCAATTCCCAATGGACAAAATCAAGTCCCACCCAACATTTTTTCTTGTTTGAGAAGCCGTTTCACTCAGATACACATCACAATAGGGAAGATAAAACTATCGAAGCTTCTGTTTCATACCAACACACTCTCAGAAAAAAAGGTACAAAAGCTGTCACTGGGGCTGTACCTTTTCAAAAGGTAAACTTTTGTCCATTTCATGAGCTAATAAGTACATTTTAGGTGTTAATATGTACATTTTGGGTGCTAATATGTACATTTTAAGTGCTAATATGTCCATTTCAAGAGCTAATATGTCCATTTTAGGTGCTAATATGTACATATTAGGTGCTAATATGTCAATTTCATGAGCTAATATGTCCTTTTTAGGTGCTAATATGTCCATTTTAGGTGCTAATATGTAGGTACCAATATGCAGCCTTTGGGTACAAAAGTGTACCTTTTGAAAAAAGGTACAGCCCCAGTGACAGCTTTTGTACCTTTTTTTTCTGAGAGTGCATGAATACCTGATGAATATCTGTGGAGCAGATTGACCAAATGCCTTATTTTGGTTTGGAAAACACCTTTAACATATAATATACAAGATCATTGTGAAAGATAAAACCTTTGCTGTTGTTGAAGTTGTAATCAAAATATATCAAACTGATGATTCCAACTTGGATGGGCTTCTGATCTACTAACAAATTGCTCCTTTAGACCGTTATACCACTGTGCCATGTGGTTACAGACACTGTTGCTGATCTCTTTACATTTCAACTTCTACATTTCACATTGCAACTATATGATGGAGATCACATGCTGAACGGCTGTACTGTTAGTCTGACTCAAGACTTAAATGTTATGAAAGACTTAAATGTTATTTTTAAGAAAAATTCTTTTTTAGTTTATAGTAAATCTATATTTCTACATATATATATATATATATATATATATATATATATATATATATCACGATTATGTTATGTGTGTTTAAGTTCTCTTTTCCTGTGTGTACTATTTTCCAGTTTGTTCCCTTGATTAATCTATTCACCTTTTATTCAATTAATTAGCTCATTAGTTCACTCATTTTGTCTGGTATTTATTCTCCCTGTTTTGTTCAGTTCTTTGTCTTGTCTTGTCAGTGTTTTATGTGGTTGTTGTATTGTGTTTCCTGAGTTTTCCTTGTCTGTTGGATTTAAAGACTGTTTTTGCTGATCTCCTATGTTGTTGTGCGCTTTGTACAGCCACACATGACAATATCAGTATAACAGTTACACTTTATTTTACGGTACAAGCACTTACAGAGTTCTTACCTTAAGTAAGGTATAATATAATACAATTACATTGGTTAAGGTTAGGTAAGAGTATGTTCAGGGTTAGTGGCTATTTATTACAGTTATTGTCATCACAATAATAAGTACATAGCATGCACATGAGGAACAGGACTGTAAAGTGCTAGTGGTATAACACTTTCTTTCTTTTTTTTACAACCCCTATACTTCTCACTTTATCGTAATACTCAGCAGTCTTCACATGAAAAAAAACAAACCGAACATTTGCTTGGTAACTTATGCTGTTAAAAAAAAGTTAAGCCTCTAACCAGGGATTTCAGTTGATGTGACATCTTGTCAGTTTCGTTTCTCTGTCGTAACCCATTAGTTCATTCTTTAAACAATTTATATCAGAAATGACATACATGTTTTTTTTTGCCCTGAGCCTCCCCATGAGCATCAATATTTACAAGCAAATTATAATTTTTACGACAATGATGTCAAAACTAAACCCACTCACGTGGATTCGCGAAAAGCGATTAAAAAGTATGTATTCTTCACTGGCCAGTAGTTGGAGGTCACTTTGTAAGGAAAAACTACCGCCTATGTAGGCCTACGTAATTCACGTCTTCACCTTTTCACAATTTTGCATTTACACAGAGATGATAACAGTACGCCTGTTTTCAAAAACTTGCACTTTAAAATCTGTTTTCAAAAGTTTGTATTTTCAGGCCCACAAATTGCTGTTATGTAAATGATCAGACAAAACACTTAAAGTTTTCTGTTTTTTATTGAAACTGTGTCATGCAAACGGCTGCTCAGGCAAACCGTAACAGGGACAAGAATGAACCAAAAATACTCCTGACAGTGTTAGAAAACTTCAGAAAAATTTGATCAAGCAAAAACGTTTTCTTCTACACTTGGCCAAAACGTGAGGTTGATAGGCTACTCTTTTACAATAACTTTATATTCACAACATAAAAAAAACACATACAGTTGCATAGCTACATTTTGGGAGTCTACAAAACAGTCACATGATTTATTAAGTAAGGATAATGTATAGCGAGGCGGTTCTTACAGCGAATACCCAAATGCGAAGCGGAAGGTTTATTGAGGAGTTTAAATAAAAAAGGAGTTTATTGATTTAAAAACGATTGTATTGCTTCAGCTAAAGAAAATAGTCTGTTCCGTCTCTGAACTGCGTCCATGGCAACGCTCTGTTTTTCATGGCAACGGTCTGTTATACTTAGCAGCGGTCTGTTATCAAGAAATAGCAGACCGCATTCTATATTAGGATTCAACCCTGTACTACATTATTACAACCATGTAATAACTATTTTTAATAATTGTGTAAAGGCCATGCTAACACTGTGAGCATACATATCAGAATTTGAGTATTTACTTAATACTATTATTTACAAAATATAGTAATGTTTTTCAATATTTAATTAGTCAGGCAAATTTTGAAGTTTAATTTGATTTGAAGATGATTCTAAAGTATTCCTAATGGTTAATGGGGGAAAATGTATTATACATATATGTATATTATATATATGAAGAGTTCAGATGCAAAAGCCTCTAAGTGCCATTTGAAATTTTCTTCTAAAATTATCATTTTTATCAAGCTTGTATATTTAAGTTCAGTAATTTCACTTAAATGGCAATGAAGATTACCTTTTAATTGTCATTTAAGTGAAATTACTGAACTTAAATACACAAGCTTGATAAAAATGGTCATTCTAGAGCAAAATTTCAAATGGCACTTAGAGGCTTTTGCATCTGAACTCTTCATATATAAATTACTGAATTAATGAAAAAATCGCTTCTTGCAATCCTTCCCAAGCGCTGTGCTTTGCACTATTAACTATAGCGTTCAATGGAAAATGCTCCGGAGTCAGTTGAGAACTTCTCATCCGGTTTGATTGAATGCTGGCTGTGGTCTCTGGACCTGTAGAATGAAGCAGTGCTCTGAACATGTGAATCTGATACCTAGAAACAGAGCAAGATAGAGGCAGTGAAGCATTCATTGTTACCATAACTGGATAGATGTAATATTTTTGGCGACTTTCTAAAATGCAAACCTCTTCAAATTTCTTGGCCTTATATTGGTCAGCTCCTTTCAAGAAGTTCAGCAGAATTATATCACAAAGCACTGTACCCTAAAATAAAGGAAAAGTAGTTTGGTCTACTTAAAGAGGTTCACAGGTATAAATTATTTTCTATTATTAATTCATTTCATTATTACTGTTTTTTTCAATTGCTTAAAGGGACACTCCACCCATTTGCATTAACCCAGTTATACTATTGAATGGTCGTGCAGCACTCTCTCATTTTCCCCTGAGATGAGAGAAATCTGCTATTTACCTTTTTCACTTCCTCCTACAATGACGCAAAAATCGTCATTTTACGTCATTGTAGGAGGGATTTCTGTAAAGACTACAAGCACAAGTTCCCACCCTTTGAAACCCATCCATAGGGGGTTGGGCCTAATGCGCTAACAGACCTGCCACAGATCAGTGCCAATGCGTTTGATTTCACCGGCAGAAACTTTTTGAAAATAAGGACGAAGGTACTGAATACGCAGACAGATGCATTATGGAGGATTGGGATTACACATAGTGTCAGCCATCTTTTTTGGAAGCTAAGCTAGTAGGCTCTTGTTCTGTGGAGAAAGCTGAGTAGTAACTTCAGGGGTTACCGTCCTCTTTTTTTTTCCGGACATGTCCGGCTGTCGATGTCCGGGATTCAGCTTTTGCTTTCTGCAGTCGCCATTTATTGTTTACATGCACACCTTTTATTTCAATCTAACTGAATTCATTCTGATTGGTGAATCTGAATGTAGTGTTTACATGAACGCTAAACAAGTGATCGGTTGATATGCGTTTTAACATTGCTAAGAAAATTCCCGCTCCTCCGTGAGAGATACGAGACCGGTAACTTACGTCTCACAGCTGTCGCTCATCGGTAATCACACCCCAGCCTCGCGTCGTTCTCCACACGGCCCTCACTCGTCCTGCTCGCCAGAGTAAACATAATGAATGGCGACTGTAGAACGCAAAAAGCCGAATCCCGGACATTTCGGCGATCTCGAAACACATTTTCGGGCAGACTCATCACAGAGACTCACTTGTTGTTTAACTACTGCACTGTTGCTGGTAGTTGTGGCCTTTTAGGGCAGCAAAGCAAGTGCATTCTTTCATCCACATAAGCCAAAAATACATTTTCTGGCTTTTCTCAGTCTAGAAAGCTCCGAATTCAAAAATAATTTCACATTTCTTCTACATAAATTACCCATTTTAAAAACACATTAATCTTTCCAGAGGTGGAATGACCCTTTAAGGACAATTTTCAAAGTTTCAAGTTTGTCACAACACTACACACAATTAGTACAACCCTACACCAAAGTAACACAATATACTTTTGTCAAAACTATACACAACTTCATAAAAACAATATTTTGTTACCATACGAAACACACACATTTCATATGACTTCAATCTTTTTGAA